AAAAACAACATTATTTTTAGTGTTGTACATGGATATATATTACAAAATATTTTATTGATAAATATTTACATATATACAGTGGTCGGTCTTGATGACATTACAGTATAATTGACCTCTACTAGTACTATAGTGGATGCTCATTCAATACGTCCATTACAACATTGCCTGTGACATAGACGCATTGTGTATTGTCTACACCAGAACTCTGATCACCTGGCTTTGATGACTTGTTACGCAGTACTACACATGTATGCCTCAGAGCAACGTAGGTGCACCCAGGTGTAAAGGTTGTTGAGGTACTGGACAGCTGGACCCTCGTTAGTGATTACCTGTGGCTTATATGGACGTCATTGACAATAACACAAGTCATTACACACTATCAAAGCTTTTTATCTCATCCTCTAACCTCTGTATATAAATGGTGGGAAAGTCTGTTAGTGCATAAACTATTCTAGTCTTGTTGATAAACTGAAATCCAAGCTACAACACAATTACCTATAAGTAGGACTAGTACTGCTATCACTAGTCCAAAATAACTGACTATCTTCCTTTGATTTTTTTTTCTATCTCCGCCCTTCAAAATATTTCTAAAAGGAGATAGTCAATTATCTTTTGAAAAATCGTCTCCTTTTGAAAAGTCTATAAACCGGGAGAGTAATTCAGCCCTGCATGCGTGCACAAAACATTTGAAAAGGTCTCTATAGGTTATGCATGTACAGTATTTCTATTCTTGCTATGCTCGATTAATTTTAAACTATTATAATAAGGCGTATACATTTCTAAACATATTAAAAAAAAATGATCAGTTAAAGGTTGTATGGACATTGTATACAAGTGTTAATTGTGTAACTGAAATAATACTTCAAACCTTTGTGACACAGACACAGCATTTGTTATAATTAAGTGATGCCATACTTGCCAACGTTTTGAAATTTGCATTGGGGAGATTCTGCATGGTCAAAACTAAAACACAAATAAAATGTGTGTATACATACACCCCCTAGAGACAAAATAACCCTTTAAAATGACAACACTCTGAGTTATTTTTTCAGATGAAGTCATCAGATCTTAGAATATAGGAACAGTTAAGCAAATTCACTGGTTGAAAACACTAAATGTAAGGGTCCAAAATCAGAGTCTCCCTCCTACATAGGGAGGGTTGGCTAGTACATGTATGTGATTCAGTGATAAAATGTAACTTTGCAGTTACTTAGTTTATAATTTTATAATATGTTAATTGCTTAAAATCATGAATTTTCCTCAGTATGAAGTATAATATTTTGTATATTTATTTCACTTTAAGATTAAAAGAGTATAAAATTTATATAAGGTTCCCATGATACTTGTGCCGAAACCTGTAGTTTCGAATTTGAATTGTTTTTTACCGATATGACCTTGTTTATGACAATAGTTAATAGATATAAATTCAACAAAAAACAATGAAAAACAGTGTTCTAAGTGTAAAAATGCTACAGAGCCAGACTGAAATTAGAACTCTGGACCTCCGCTCCCAATACAGTACTCTTGTTCTAATCCACTGAGCTTTCTGGTCAATCATAGCTCCCTGGCCCAGTCCAACGACAGTTATATCCATAACAAATTTGAAGGGAAGGTATGGTATGTACAAAACACTACAAAGGAATACTTCATGATTTTACTTTAGTGGGACAGGGATCTTTAAAACCCTATTACTGTACAGAAATTTTGCAATAGCTTCCAATATACCCAGGGTCACTAACTATTACCTTTGAAAGAACATACTAGGGTACAAAAATTGTCAAAAGATTTCATACCAAAGTATTTAGTACCGGTATTATATGCTGTTGCTGTATATTAATAGTAATGCTATGATTAAGATATTATTGATTTTCATTTGAAACTCATCCAAAGTTCAAAATGTTCTTTTAGCTTGGCACAAGACAAGCCTTGCTATATAAACACTTTTAGGACACATGATAAATGTCATGAGAAATGGTCCACGAAAACTCACCTAAGTTCATATACATGTATATGTACAATTCACACTATATATATTATAGTCCATAAAGAGGATTATAGGATGCAATATTACCCTAATGGTACAAAATGCAGTTCAGCAATATATATTTAGTAATTGTATAACTATACTGGTAGTCTGACATATCACTAATACCACTGATTATAAAACAAATAGTAACATGTGATACAGATATAACCCTGTTACTGTACACTGTTATATATTAACTTTTGATACAGATATAACCCTGTTACTGTAAACTGCTATATATTAACATTTGTCACAGATATGACCATGTTACTGTACACTGTATCAAATGTTAATATATAACAGTGTGCAGTAACAGGGTTATATCTGTATCACATGCTACTATTTGTTTTATAATCAGTGGTATTAGTGATATGTCAGACTACCAATATAGTTATACAATTACTAAATATATATTGCTGAACTGCATTTTGTACCATTAGGGTAATATTGCATCCTATAATCCTCTTTATGGACTATAATATATATAGTGTGAATTGTACATATACATGTATATTCATATCTGTATCAAATGTTAATATATCACAGTGTACAGTAACATGGTCATATCTGCATCAAATGTTAATATATAACAGAGTACAGTAACAGGGTTATATCTGTATCTCATGTTTATATATAACAGTGTACAGTAACTTGGTCATATCTGTATCAAATATTAATATATAACAGTGTACAGTAACATGGCCATATCTGTATCAAATGTTAATATATAACAGCGTACAGTAACAGGGTTATATCTGTATCTCATGTTTATATATAACAGTGTACAGTAACTTGGTCATATCTGTATCAAATATTAATATATAACAGTGTACAGTAACATTGTCATATCTGTATCAATTGTTAATATATAGCAGTATACAGTAACATGGTCATATCTGTCTCAAATGTTAATATATAACAGTGTACAGTAATAGGGTTATATCTGTATCAAATGTTAATATATCACAGTGTACAGTAACAGGGTTATATCTTATCTGTATCAAATGTTAATATATAACTGTGTACAGTAACATGGTCATATCTGAATCAAATGTTAATATATAACAGTGTACAGGAACATGGTTATTTCTGTATCACATGTTTATATATAACAGTGTACAGTAACTTGGTCATATCTGTATCAAATATTAATATATAACAGTGTACAGTAACATTGTCATATCTGTATCAATTGTTAATATATAGCAGTATACAGTAACATGGTCATATCTGTATCACCTGTTAATATATAACAGTGTACAGTAACAGGGATATATCTGTATCAAATGTTACTATATAACAGTGTACAGTAACAGGGTTATGTCTGTATCACATGTTACTATTTGTTTTATAATCAGTGGTATTAGTGATATGTCAGACTACCAATATAGTTATACAATTACTAAATATATATTGCTGAACTGCATTTTGTACCATTAGGGTAATATTGCATCCTATAATCCTCTTTATGGACTATAATATATATAGTGTGAATTGTACATATACATGTATATTCATATCTGTATCAAATGTTAATATATCACAGTGTACAGTAACAGGGTTATATCTGTATCACATGCTACTATTTGTTTTATAATCAGTGGTATTAGTAATTGTATAACTATACTGGTAGTCTGACATATCACTAATACCACTGATTATAAAACAAATGTTAATATATAACAGTGTACAGTAATAGGGTTATATCTGTATCAAATGTTAATATATCACAGTGTACAGTAACAGGGTTATATCTTATCTGTATCAAATGTTAATATATAACTGTGTACAGTAACATGGTCATATCTGAATCAAATGTTAATATATAACAGTGTACAGTAACTTGGTCATATCTGTATCAAATATTAATATATAACAGTGTACAGTAACATGTTCATATCTGTATCAAATGTTAATATATAACAGCGTACAGTAACAGGGTTATATCTGTATCACATGTTACTATTTGTTTTATAATCAGTGGAATTAGTGATATGTCAGACTACCAGTATAGTTATACAATTACTAAATATATATTGCTGAACTGCATTTTGTACCATTAGGGTAATATTGCATCCTATAATCCTCTTTATGGACTATAATATATATAGTGTGAATTGTACATATACATGTATATTCATATCTGTATCAAATGTTAATATATAAAAGTTAACAGTAACAGGGTTAGATCTGGATCAAATGTTAATATATAACAGTGTACAGTAACAGGGATATATCTGTATCAAATGTTACTATATAACAGTGTACAGTAACATGGTCGTATCTGTATCACATGTTAATATATAACAGTGCACAGTAACATGGTCATATCTGTATCAAATGATAATATATAACAGTGTACAGTAACATGTTCATATCTGTATCAAATGTTAATATATCACAGTGTACAGTAACAGGGTTATATCTGATTCAAATGTTAATATATAACAGTGTACAGCAACATGGTCATATCTGTATCACATGTTAATATATAACATTGTACAGTAACATGGTCATATCTGTATGAAATGTTAATAGATAACAGTGTACAGTAACATGGTTATATCTGTATCAAATGTTAATATATCACAGTGTACAGTAACATGGTCATATCTGTACACTGTTATGTTATATATTAACATGTGATACAGATATGACCATGTTGCTGTACACTGTTATATATTAACATTTGATGCAGATATGACCATGTTACTGTACACTGTTATATATTAACATGTGATACAGAAATAACCATGTTACTGTACACTGTTATATATTAACATTTGATACAGATATGACCATGTTACTGTACACTGTTATATATGACCATAATTAAGCTGTTTTTAAAGGGAAAGTCCTAAGAAGAACTTTCGGAAATATCAGACTAGAGGCAGTTAAATATGGTGATGTTGATGTATGATAAAAGACGTTCTAAATATAAATATGAAAACTTTCTAATTTCTTTCTTTTATAGGTTTTCTCAGGATGTCGACTGTTTGTATTCATTCCAAAGACACCAGCAAGGGTAAGACTTACAATCTATTTTCCCTCAAATTATTTGATATTTTAAGTCTAAATATGTTTTCTGTTCTCCAACTATGGTCCACATGTAATTATATCATGTTGTATATTATTGAGGTGTCAAAATCATGTTTATATTTACTTATTTAAATCTGAAGTTAACAAGGCTGTAGGAATTGTTTTTGCAAGAAATTGTACTTTAACCATATAAAGTGTATTGGAGTGTCTCAATTGTCAAGGTCATGGGTATGAATGAATATATATGTTTCTTCATTTAATTGGCACACAAATCAGCCACACTTGAAAGCGGGGTGGCCAATTCACCCCGTTGATCTTTGTTTATTTGTTACAATAGTATAGGCTCCTCTTACATCTACTGGGAAACACCTTGATAGTACCCAGATCTAGACAAATTGTATCGGTTGTAAACACCCCTGGGTCCCTGTTAGCTCATAACGAGCTTAACTTGACTGTGTGCGGGAAGTTGTGGTGTAGGGGTCGCACATGTGGGAATAGAATGGCTGTTGTTGTGTAATTGTGTAAGGCTAGACTTCCTACAGACACCAGTTAATGCTGCTTTACTAAGACAAGACGCACACATAACAACAGGTAATCTGAGATATATAATGGTTATAATGTTAATTAGAACATGTAGAGAACAATCAATGAGATGTTACATGCTTGGGTAGTTATACGAAGATAGACTGTGTAAATGATACTTATATTTACATGTAATTTTGTACAAACCTGTGGGTATAGACATGCTGTATTGATATAATGGTATATGTATATGTATGTTAAAATTGCATTACATTTACTAATTCTGATGATAATCTTTATGTTTTTAGTATCATAATGATATATATTGATTACAATATCAGAACTCCTGATGTGTAGCTACATTGCACTGTTACTAGTAGATTTCAATGTTAATTACAGTAGGTTAATTTTGTACCAAACCTGTTATCTATATACAACATGCATGTCACTATTATTGTACAGGACTGTTTTTGTGTGGTGAAATCTAAAATTAAAACTAGATATTCTTTGACAGCTGGAGAACAACTTCAATTACCTGGACATACAAGCGATCGAAAGTAAAAAACAGAACCAGGTATGTAATATTGTTTAACCCTCCTGATAGTACAGTACCTGTTTCCTTGTACAGTTTGACCACAGATTATCTTATCAATTTGTTCACTTTAAATGCCTAAAATAGGTGTTAACACATGCTGAAGTTGGTAAGGTGATACTGGCGTAAGTATGAATTTGTGTGCTCACAATTAACATCAAAATACAAATGATTAAGATTTTACACCTAACTTGTATCTCTCTAAAGTGTGTCCATATTCATTAACAGTTCCTGTTAAACCTCGCTGATCAATATCATGATAATCAGAAAAGAAGTTTTGTTGACAAACAAGCTTTCCATGTCACTGGACTGTTCTTGGTGCACTAAAGGGGTGAGGTCATGTTTTGATAAGATGCTGCAGTGCTCCTGTTTGTCCTGAAGTGTTTTGATTGGCTGAGCCTGACAGTGTTTTGATTTGTAAAGTCAGACAATGTATTGATTGGTTAATTCTTACAATGCTTTAGTTGATTCAAAAGAGAGTAGTCTGATTGGTTGAGTGTGACGCTATTAAGTCCGTTATGCTTTTGTTACAGTTATCAGTGACGGTAGATAGTAAGACGTACAATTTTGTGACCCTTGAAGCGGAGACAGAGGAGGTCAATCACATGATCACACACCTGGCTGTATCTCTACGCCACATCTTTCCAGACTTCACCATAGAGTATGTAATGTTAGGCAAAGTTCCGGTCATAACTTGATTGTATCTGAAATAATGACATTTAGCCTGGCTTATTATAAGATATTAATCCAGATGACTAAGGAATTCAACACTTTTGTAATGTATGATTTGAATTGTGTATGTTTTCTTTCTTACAGGAGATTAATAAAGAAAATAGAAGTGTGCCCACCAGAACGAACAAAGATGATGACAGATATGACTAAAAATATTTCCAAGGAGACTGGTCCTTGTGGAGGATTCACAATGATGTATGCTTGTATGTGTGACTACCACAGCCTTCCCTTCAGAGCAGAGGTTGAATGGGTACGTCAAAATTATACTCGTATTTGTATGCGCAGCCTTTAACTTTGTATATATATACTTGTATGTGTGACCCCCAGTGTATTTATACTTGTATGTGTGGCCCTCAGTGTATATATACTTGTATGTGTGACCCTCAGTGTATATATACGTGTATGTGTGACCCTCAGTGTATATATACTTGCATATGTGACCCTCAGTGTATATATACTTGTACGTGTGACCCTCAGTGTGTATATATACTTGTATGTGTGCCCCTCAGTGTATATATACTTGTATATGTGACTCTCAGTGTATATATACTTGTATGTGTGACCCTCAGTGTATTTATACTTGTATGTGTGGCCCTCAGTGTATATATACTTGGATGTGTGACCCTCAGTGTATTTATACTTGTATGTGTAACCCTCAGTGTATATATATACTTGTATGTGTGACCCGCAGTGTATATATACTTGTATGTGTGGCCCTCAGTGTATTTATACTTGTATGTGTGCCCCTCAGTGTATATATACTTGTATGTGTGGCCCCCAGTGTATTTATACTTGTATGTGTGACCCTCGGTGTATATATACTTGTATGTGTGACCCTCATTGTATTTATACTTGTATGTGTGGCCCTCAGTGTATATATACTTGGATGTGTGACCCTCAGTGTATTTATACTTGTATGTGTAACCCTCAGTGTGTGTATATATACTTGTATGTGTGGCCCTCAGTGTATTTATACTTGTATGTGTGGCCCTCAGTGTATTCATACTTGTATGTGTAACCCTCAGTCTGTATATATATACTTGTATGTGTGACCCTCAGTGTATTTAGACTTGTATGTGTGACCCTTGGTGTATATATACTTGTATGTGTGACCCCCAGAGTATATATACTTGTATGTGTGACCCTCAGTGAATTTATACTTGTATGTGTGACCCTCAATGTATATATACTTGTATATGTGACCCTCAGTCTATATATACTTGTATGTGTGACCCTCAGTGTGTATATATACTTTTATGTGTGACCCTCAGTGTATATATACTTGTATGTGTAACCCTCAGTGTATATATATACTTGTATGTGTGACCCTCAGTGTGTATATATACTTTTATGTGTGACCCTCAGTGTATATATACTTGTATGTTTGACCCTCAGGGTATTTATACTTGTATGTGTGACCCTTGGTGTATATATACTTGTATGTGTGACCCTCAGTGTATTTAGACTTGTATGTGTGACCCTTGGTGTATATATACTTGTATGTGTGACCCTCAGAGTATATATACTTGTATGTGTGACCCCCAGTGTATTTATACTTGTATGTCTGACCCTCAGTGTATATATACTTGTATGTGTGCCCCTCAGTGTATTTATACTTGTATGTGTGACCCACAGTGTGTGTATATATACTTGTATGTGTGGCCCTCAGTGTATATATACTTGGATGTGTGACCCTCAGTGTATTTATACTTGTATGTGTAACCCTCAGTGTATATATACTTGTATGTGTGACCACCAGTGTATATATCCTTGTATGTGTGACCCCCAGTGTATATATACTTGTATGTGTGCCCCTCAGTGTATTTATACTTGTATGTGTGACCCTCAGTGTATTTATACTTGTATGTGTAACCCTCAGTGTGTGTATATATACTTGTATGTGTGGCCCTCAGTGTATATATACTTGTATGTGTGACCCTCAGTGTATTTATACTTGTATGTGTGACCCTCAATGTATATATATACTTGTATGTGTGACACTCAGTGTATTTATATACTTGTATGTGTGACACTCAGTGCAGAGGTCAAATGGATATAGAACTTTGAATAAATGTACTGGCATGTGTGACCTTCAGGGCAGAGGTTAAATATGTGACCTCCAGGGCAGAGGTCAAATCGATATAGAACTTTGTATTAATGTACTGGCATGTGTGACCTTCAGGGCAGAGGTTAAATGTGTGACCTTCAGGGCAGAGGTTAAATGTGTGACCTTCAGGGAAGAGGTCAGATGGATATAGTCCTTTGTATTAATGTACTGGCATGTGTGACCTTCAGGGCAGAGGTTAAATGATACCAAATGTTGCGTACTTGTATGTGTGACCTTCATTGCCGAGGATAAATTATGCAAAACTTTGCGTACTTGTATGTGTGACCTTCGGGGCAGAGGTTAAATAATACCAAACTTTGCGTACTTTTATTTGTTACCTTCAGGGCAGAGGTTAAATAATACCAAACTTTGCGTACTTGTATTTGTGACCTTCAGGGCAGATGTCAGATGCATGAGTACATTACGATTTAAACTTTCAGAGAAGAGGTCATCTAAGTGCATTATTAGGTATACCTATATATATAATGTTATCCATGTTCGTCACATTCTGTACTTTACCCCACATCCTTTCCTGTTGTGATTCATTGCTAAAACTCTTCTGATTTATAGAATTTCATCAATGTTTGTACAAAAGTCAAGTTTTAGAAAACTTTGATGAGCTCATATTTTAGGATCCCATAGTCAGCACAAAGGTCACCATTGCTATTTATAGGTCAACTATAACTATTTTGTCAGTAGACTCATTGTCAACAGTCCACCACATCAGAACTAAGATGTATCTTATCTATATGGTACATTTTCTAGTTTTCTTTTTACAGCGTCTTCCTAAGAACTTTTATGATTAATGTCATAGCTTGTTAAAGTGAAAGCTTTTAAGTTTGCTCAAAGAAACGAAATTAGCAGAAAAAAAGGAACAAATGACTCTGACTAGCATTCAAAACGCAGGAGACAAAAGTGTTTAAAAGCTAAGAGACTCCCCAGCAACTGCAAGATTTGGAGCCATGACATTGTCTTTGAAGCTTACAGGGGTAAAGAATTGTCAACTTTGTTCAAATGAATGACCTTGACCTAAATCCAAGGTCACAGGTAAATTGAGTGCCGCAAGGCATTCAAGTAACACACATTTTGTAATATAATAAGATAAGTACAGAGGTATCAGAGAGGACTATTGACAACCTGGGTCATTAAACCCAGTTAACATATGATATTTTATGGAGAATTATTGACATTTTTTTCTTCAGGACATTGATACAATCTACCTGTCTCAAGACTCGAGGGAACTCCGACTTCGTGACTTTGACCACTTAGAAGCAAGGTAAGGTGTTGCCTCACACTTGATGAGTTTTATCTCTCAGGTAATTTGACCACTAAGAACCAAGGTAAGGTATTGCCTCAGACTTGATGAGTTTTACCTCTCAGGTAATTTGACCACTAAGAACCGAGGCAAGGTATATTGCCTCAGACTTGATGAGTTTTATCTCTCAGGTAATTTGACCACTAAGAACCAAGGTAAGGTATTGCCTCAGACTTGATGAGTTTTACCTCTCAGTTAATTTGACCACTAAGGATCAAGGTAAGGTATTGCCTCACACTTGATGAGTTTTACCACTTAGAACCAATTCAAGCTGTCTGACAGTTGGGAGCAAACTTAACTTGGTAGCCTAGTGTGCTGGAGTTAACAAGAAAAGTTAGCTGAAGACTAGAGTGCACGACAATGTTTTGTCTAATGCACTATCTTGTTACAGGTGCACTACCAAGTCCACTCAATACCAAGCTCAGTTTCATTTGCTCCCAACTGTTTGTTCTCATTCTTGGTGAACTTGACCACTAAGGTGAGCTATGTGTTTGTGACTTTAACGAGGTGAACTTCACAGTCGTGCACATTATTTTAGTGTTTTTCAGAGGTCTTGCTTAGTAGTTCCATGAATGAAAATTGTATGTAATATCAATTCCTTTGAAATGTTTTATATTACATGACATAGTATGATATACAAACAGTATGGTACTTATAGGTTATTTAAAAGGAAACTTAAAAAATATATCAAAATACAAACATTATTTCTTTTACAAAAATTAGGAAGTTGTATCTACTTACATGTATTCCATCACTGTTGTTGGCCGGAATATTAACATGCAGGGGTCTTAATGTGGGAGGAAACTGGAGTAACTTCAATCACCTTATCAGTTACTCTATATATAATGACTATAACAATGTTATTGATATTTTTCAGAGATCTTGTGCCTATAATAGGAGCCTTAGAACACAACACCTGGTTTACAAAGCTAGACGCTAATGATGTCAAACTGGTGAGTGTATGACCAAGTGTTACCTAAAACTGGTGAGTGTATGACCGAGTGTTACCTAACACTGGTGATGTATGGCCGAGTGTTACCTAAAACTGGTGAGGGTATGGCCGAGTGTTACCTAAAACTGGTGAGGGTATGGCCGAGTGTTACCTAAAACTGGTGAGGGTATGGCCGAGTGTTACCTAAAACTGGTGAGTGGATGGCCGAGTGTTACCTAAAACTGGTGAGTGTATGGCCGAGTGTTACCTAAAACTGGTGATGTATGACCGAGTGTTACCTAAAACTGGTTAGTGTATGACCGAGTGTTACCTAAAACTGGTGAGGGTATGGCCGAGTGTTACCTAAAACTGGTGAGGGTATGGCCGAGTGTTACCTAAAACTGGTGAGGGTATGGCCGAGTGTTACCTAAAACTGGTGAGTGTGTGGCCGAGTGTTACCTAAAACTGGTGAGTGTGTGGCCGAGTGTTACCTAAAACTGGTGAGTGTATGACCGAGTGTTACCTAAAACTGGGGAGTGTATGGCCGAGTGTTACCTAAAACTGGTGAGTGTATGGCCGAATGTTACCTAAAACTGGTGAGTGTATGGCCGTCAGTGTTACCTAAAACTGGTGAGTGAATGGTTGAGTGTTACCTTAAACTGGAACTATAGTGTAGTGATGTGTACAATTTTGTACTGGTGATAAAGAAGTTTTATAATCATGATGTTTTGTTTATTTACAGACGTTGGAAGCTCAACAATCAGAGGTTTTCAAGGTGATGAGAAGAAATGCTGTGATAAATGAATTGTGTCTAAGTAACTCAGGGATTAGCTCGTAAGTTTACTGTCTAGTAACTCAGGGATTAGCGAGTAAGTTTACCGTCTAGTAACTCAGGGATTAACACATAAGTTTACTATATAACGACTCGGGGATTAACGCTAGTGACTCAGGGATAAACATGTAAGTTGACCAATCTAGTGACTCAGGGATTAACACATAAGTTTACCATCTAGTAATTAACTCGGGGATTAACACGGAAGTTTACTATCTAGTAACTCGGGGATTAACACGTAAGTTGACCGATCAAGTGACTCAGGGATTAACACTTAAGTTGATTAATCTAGTGACTCAGGGATTAACGTGTAATTTGACCGATCAAGTGACCCAGGGATTAACATGTTAGTTGACCGATCTAGTGACTTAGGGATTAACACCTAAGTTGACTGATCTAGTGACTCAGGGATCAACACTTAAGTTTACCGTCTAGTAACTCGGGGATTAACACGTTAGTTGACCGATCAAGTGACTTAGGGATTGACTGATCTAGTGACTGAGGGATTAAAACGTAGGTTTACTGTCTACTGACTCAAGGATTAATGCATAGGTTTACTGTCTAGTTCCTCAGGGATTTACATGTAAATTGACCGGTTTAGTGACTCAGATATAAACTCAAAATGTTACTCAGGTAACTCAGGGATTTACATTAAATCTCCCTGCTGGTCATCCATAAATCTTGGGTCTATTGACCTAGAAATTAACACATCAGTTAAAAAATGAGTGACTCGGGAGTGGACTGTAACATACGTTGAGTGGTTCAGTGACTCAGGAACCAAATTTACATGAAAGTTTTTGACTCTCGACTCTGAGAGTGTTCTAACATTAGATTCTTTATTAGTGACTCAGTCACACAAGACTCACATAAAGTTCACATGTAAGTTAATGATTCAGAGCATTGAGGTGAACATGTTAGTTATCAATCATGGGTTAGAATCTGGTTAATGAGGAATACTGTTCTATGTTACAGAGACTTTGTACAGAAACTTTCAGTGGCTTTACTGTCCAACAGTTCTACAACGCTACATAGTATAGATCTGTCCAAAAATGCCATCGATGACAAAGGTAGGTAGAATTTGAAAAACTCCAAAAACAATACATGTACAAATTAATGACAAGTGTACTCATTTGATGACGGAAAACATGTTAATATCTAGCTAGCCAGGAGTGAGTAAAGTGATATTTTCTAGGAGTCCAATTTTGGTTCTTTTCAAGTACTGGCTAGGCTAAAATATTTCATAGCATCATCTCATGAACACTTAACATTTTATAAACTTTACATGAATAAGCAGTCTCAATTCAAATAATGTAACTGGTAAGGTTGTTTTAAAAATCAAATTTTCTTCAGTTATATTCTGAAAAACAAAATACCAGAAAGAAATCTACAGAGACTTGTTTATGTTCTCCCAGAAAGAGATGTTAGCAAGCCTTACCAGTGTTGAAACACCTACATAATCAGTATGTGTGATTCCACATCTAAATATACTAATGAATTCAGGAGGAAGAAGCTGGATTGGACAGGCTGTGTGAAACACACTGTATTAGACTTTGTAGACTGGAGATTGTTTATTTAAGAGTTTTTTAGTGTTTTTTTTTCTTGAGTTTTGTTGTTTTGTTGTTACATTGTATAACCTTGTCGCAATATAAAATTTGTTCAAAACAGCCATCACCCATTTGATTGGTTCCCTGGGAAGTTTGTGTAGAGGTCTGATCAGGTTCGACATCAGTCATGCCAAGATAACCGGGAGGGGCCTGAATAAGGTAGCGGAGACCCTCACACACAACACGGTCGTAGGAGGCAAACTTCAGAAGCTCAACATGGCTGACAATCAGGCGAAAGGGGAGGATCTTCAGGTGAGGAACCTACATAGTCAGGTTCAGTCAGGTTCCATATGTGTAGTCTGAACAACTGACATAAATATTGTAAAAATAGTCATCTGGCAAGACAGTCTCTCTCTTCACAGTTTAACCAGTAAAATTAAAATGAACAACAAATAATAATAATAATTTAAGGTTATCACAGCCCAGCTAGTTGGCCATTTCAAAGCTGTTCACAAGTCATTATCTGTGATTAATTAGGCCTTTGCAACCTAGCCAATATCTGTCTGAACTCCCTGGGGAACATTATATATATATATATATATGTAACAGCCGGTGCTGCCATTTTGGCACTCACAGCTAACAGTTAACAATTCTAGCACTGCCCAACCACATACTCGTTTACAGCTGGAACAAGTGGAATAAAGTATCTTGTTAAAACATACAACACATCTATTTTTATTCACATTTTGGTTTTTAGGTCACCTGAGACAAAGTCTCAAGTGACCTATTGCGATTGCCTTTTGTCCGTCGTCGTCCGCCCGTAAACAATTTACATTTTCGACTTCTTCTCCAAAACCCCTGAACCAATTTCAATGAAATTTTGTAGAAACCTTCCATGGCCAAAGGTCAACAAAAAGCCAGAATGGTAGAATCAAACACTCTTCATAGATGGAAGGGTCTTAAGGTGCTCTACCAAAATTGTGAATTTCATGACCCTTGGGTATCACGTTTCGCCCTGGGGAGGTGGTAAACTTTAATATAGTTTATATAGGGAAATCATATTTTGGACCAACAATTGTTTAATTTCCATTGGAAGTAATTAAATTTAGGTTAGCATTATCAGTATTGGGTAGCAGTTTGATGGTATGCACATATGAGCCTTTACTGACCCCCCGGGGCTGATGGGTGGGTCCAAAAAGGGTTGAATTGCCTGAAATTTCAAAAATCTTCTTCTCAAGACCCAGAAATGGTAGAATCAAACACTCTTCATAGATGGAAGGGTCTTAAGGTGCTCTACCAAAATTATGAATTTTATGACCCTGGGGTATCACGTTTACCCCTGGAGAGAAGGTAAACTTTACTATAGTTTATATAGGGAAAATCACATTTTGGACCAACACATTTGTTTAATTTTCATTGGAAATAATTAAATTTGGGTTAGCATTATCAGTATTGGATAGCAGTTTGATGGTATGCACATAAAAGCCCTGACTGACCTCCCAGGGCTGATGGGTAGGGCCAAAAAGGGTTGAATTGACTGAAATTTCAAAACAAAAACTTCTCAAAGACCCAGACATGGTAGAATCAAACACTCTTCATAGATGGAAGAGTCTTAAGGTTTATGACCCNNNNGGTTTATAATGGCAAATGATACTTTGAATATTACATGTTAATAACTTGATTGGAATTATAACCCTGAGTTGACAGTTTGATACTTTGAAAATTTTGAGCCAGCCCTACCCCCAGTCGCTGTAGGGTGGGGCCCAAAGGAGTCAGTGTGCTAAAATTTCTTCATTTTCCTTGTTTAGAATCAGAGGTGCTAGTTTCAAAGACTTTTTAGTCTTAAATCTGTATGCTAGATATTGAATAAGGTGGTTTTTATTGTTTTTTGTCACTGAATAATATTTCTGTTCGTGTTAAAAACAAAATCAACTCTCTGTTTAAATATATCAGGTGACGTTAAGGCCCATGGGCCTCTTGTTAATTTGATATTTCCTCAGCTAGGTCTTTTTTATCGATAACTTTGACACACAATAGTGAATTCCACACCTATTGTTCATCAGACATGTTGGAATTCAATGAATTTCTTCCTGTTTATTTACCTTTGACTGTTTACCGTCAGTTTTACGATTATCTTTTTGACACTAACTTGTTAACCCTTGACATTGCTAATGTTTATATTTGTATTTCAGAAACTGTACCACTTTCTGGCCAGTCCCAACACACTCACGCGTTTGGACTTGTCGGGTATAGACTGTGCCTTGGAAAACGTAGGTGGTTTGGTTTGGTTACATTCATAATTCCTGTCTTTCTGACACATTTTAGTGGCTGTGTGTTACTATGAAACAATAACAGACCAAATTGCTCTGACATGTGACCACCTCCAACAGACCATCTGTGTAAAGACCCCACTTTAAATCTTCTTGTTGAAGTTATTTCATTTTGAACTAAACCTGTAATAAGAGACCACCTGCAGTGCAGTGCAACTCATTTCAGACCTCCAGACAGGGATTGTTTATTCTTCGATTTCAGCCGTCAGCAGAGTTATTGTGTGTGCCAAATTTATTGTTGTATATGGATACAGGTATATTAAAAATATTTGGAAAGACACTTTATGAAAGCAACTTGAACAACACATTCAAACAAATATTGTTAATATCTTCCCCTGATAAACTTTTGCCATTAGGGTTTTAAATGCAAAATTGTCTAGTGTTGAATTTATTGTATCATAGGAAACTTAAAATACTAAGGTAATTAACAACTAATTAGGTTTACTGAATATCCCAAAACCATTAGATTACAATGATCTTAATATCAGTTTTACTTTCTATGCAAACAATATACACGTTTCAAGACCGACTGGTCCTTTTGTCAAGTTATGGCTTGAAACATATTGCAACACATTTAATATGTACATTGCTTGTGAAGAAAGTAAAACAGTGATATTACATATTTCTAAACTGATGAATCTGATTGAAGATAACGATGATCTTGTTTGTCTCTCCAGCTGTTTGGGCCGTTATTGCGGGGTTGCTGTGCCACCCTAACACATCTCAGCCTGGCAAGGAACAGCTTCACCTCCAAGAAAGTTAAGGAAGTATCGCCTCCACCATCATGGAAACAGTTCTTTGCTAGTGTGTACGACCTGCAGCACTTAAATCTGTCTGGCTGCAAACTTCCAAACGAACCGCTCAGGTAAGACTCTTAACCACTGAATTAAGACACTCAATTAAGTCGATCAAAAAGTAAGGCAACATGGAAACTTCATTTCAAAAATCATCGGAATCTAGAAAATCGAAGTTTCACTCTAGGTGTAATATTATTTCAGGATATGAATTTTAAAAATCATGAACCTGTTTGTTTATGCGATGTTGTGATATTTCATTAAATCATCAATGGACAAGTGCCACACGATGTCAGATTTAAGTACATCTGTCATGGGATGCATGATGGTTGTTAAAAGCTGGGAATAAATTTTCCCAGGTAGTTGATCATACCAACAACTCTTCTCAGCTCTGTTAAATCTTTCGGAGTGTCCAATCCTCTTATTGCTTCCATGCGTCCAGGATTTGTACCGATGCTGTCCCCACTCACCACATGACCAAAGTACTCATGTTTGGACTTTCCAAACTCGCACTTGTCCTTGTTTAGCTTAAGGCCTGATGCTCGTATTCTGTCTAGGACCTTGACCTTCATCATGTTCCTCCCTGGTCTTCCCATAGATCAATGTGTCATCTATGATAGCCTCACAGAAAGGAAATCATCCAAATAGAGTGATGATGGTCGTGAGCCCGTACTACCTTCATCCAGAGGTATTTGATAAAATCCGCTGCTGGCATCTAACTTGGAGAACATCTTAGCTCCATCCGGTTAAGTTCCTCTTTTGAGTAAGGGAAATGGAACACACCTTGAGGTGCTAATACGATAAGGAGATGCGTGCTCCTTTAACTGTATCCTGACTGGCTCATACGCCAGCAGTCCTGTTGGTCCAAACAGGTCATCAGTAACAGCTTCAACTCTCATTACTAGTCCCATTTGGTTTGTAACACTCCTTCCTAGTAAGTAACTGGAGCTAGCTCCACCAATCACACATATTGGGAATTTGAATTGTCTCCCCTTCTGCTAAGCATGGCATTCAAATCTACGTAGGGATGGAAGGACTCCTCCTCCTGGACCCTGAAGTATGGAACCGATGGGACTCAACGCTGGTTGTTGATTAAGCTTAAGCTTGTTGTTTGTCGCTTGAGAGAGAACAGTAATGTCTGCCCCGGTATCAATCTTGAATGTTATGGGTGTGTTACCTACTTTAAGTTTCACCTCCCATGCTGTTTCATAACTGTAGCATGAGGTTATGGCTCTGAGAAAGAATTCCTCCTGCTCTGTCACTTCTTTTACAGCAACGCCCTTTTTCGACCACCAGCAGCACACAAAGTGATCCATCTTATTACACAACCTAAAGCGCCTTCCTGTAGCAGGGCATTTATCATGTCCCTTACTGCATCCACAACGCAAACAAGTTCCCTTTTCATAAGACTTTTTAACAACCCTGTCCTTCTGCAATTTCATGCAATGCCCTGACGAACACCTCCACAGACTCACCGGGAGCCTGGCTCCTTATGCAGAAGCATGCATGTTCGTGTATAATGTCCGTTTCGGAATAAAATAGCTATTAGATTTTTCAATAACTTTCTTGAAATCCTCCTCATCTCCGGCCACATCGAACACCAAAGTTTTAATTATATGATCTGCCTGATTGCCCATGACATAAATCAATGCACTTATCTGAACTGAATCTTCATCCTTGTGCAGTTTGGTTGTGGTCCTGTAATGCTTGAACCTCATATTCCAATCGTTCCATCCGCCTAGTCGAATGCAATCAAATTTCTCTGAGGCCTGGCCTGCCATCAGGTCTAATCAATGTTACAGTTCCTTTTTACTACCAGGAAGTCCTTGCACTTGCCTCAATCTGACACCATATTGTGATATTTCATCACTGGACAAGTGCTGTATTTGAATCCATTTGTTGTACTGCTCGTGTCGTCTTACATCCGGTACATACATATTACTCACACAGACATATGCATGTTCATCAAACAAACCTAGACTTACACTTGTCATTTTATGATCAAATTCTGTTTCTAGCACATGCGGAACAACTGATTTGTCCGTTTTTAAATATAACATTTTTGGGTATAAATCATGGCGGACCTGCAAATGTTGGCCTTGCAAGGCTTTATCAAAATCAGCCTATGTAATTAAACAGGATATCTTTATTACATTAGATGGGAGGTGGTGAAGGGGAGCAAGAACTAGATGAGGATTAAAATGCATGCATGGACTCTTTATTTCAGGGAATTGCTGTTAGGAATAGGCAGTAATATAAACTTGAGTGCTGTACACCTGGACCTCAGCAGTAACGAGCTCATGTCCCAGGGGGCTTCTGTACTGGAGAGCTGTATCGGTAACATAGCCTGTCTCAAAAGTCTAGACCTCAGCAACAACGGTAATTCTTCTCAAAAAGTTCTGTTTTTAGTTTTATATTGTATCATAGATTAATGACAATTTTTCTGTCATCACCAATGATATATATTGATTGCCCTTGTATGAGGGAGGGGCCACAGTGGCCTATTTGTTAAAGTATCTGACCGTCTAGGATCACTAGCCCTCTGTTGTGTATAAGCGTATTACAGTTATATCCGAATGTTAACATACTGCTCCAGCTTTCAGTATGTACCTGAAGTGCATTGTGGGAAACTGCACCTTAATAAACCACCATTAAGCACATGGTTGTTTTGTTGTCTGCTTGTGATGATGAGCCACAGACCATTACACCCTTCACTATTAGGACACGGATAAGTTTGATACTGTTTGACCGTAAAGTAAACTTCAAATTTATCATAAAGCACTTTTAATATTGACAAATGAAGTTGTTTGCACTAGTCTGTCATTAGGACTGGCAGTAGACTATACACAAATGTAATTGCCATGTGTTTGGTTTTCAGGTCTGGACCAGAGTCTCATCAGCTTGCTCAACTGGATCGGGAACAACAGAGCTCTTAAACACCTGGCCATTGGCCGTAACTTTGACCACATCAGACCCAGGTACGGCTGACAGATAACCTATTGAATTTGTTTCCCTTTGCATTCTAGTGTAGTTCAGGCCATACAAAACTATTTATTAGTTTCTCAGGCCAATCTTTTCAGAAAATGATGTGGGAGGGTGGATTTTATTTTGCTTTTTTAGCTCTCATGAAAGTGATGAGGGAGGCACTTTTTTTTACCATTTTCTTGTATAGATCGGCAAAGGTACAGCCATAGCATGACTGTACCCACCGATGACATTTCATGGTAAAAGCGCTGTTGAACTGTACTGAAATTAGCTGCCAGGCCATGCCATTGTCAGCAAGACGCTTGATGTCAATTGTGCCGTTTCATTTAAGCGAGAACGAGATACCGTTTTTGAAACCAATAGTCAAATCTGGATTTTTTTTGCGCAATGTTTTTTTAACACATTTTCGTTTTATTCTTTTTCAATTTGGCAATAAAAACGGCGATGTGAAGGGTTATTATTTGATCCCTGTCCCATTGCACTGTTGCTCAAAGTAGAGCCCCCATAACTTCTAATGAAAATAATGTATCACAGTCTGGCCTGGACACTTCCATTGACCAGATAGCTCAATCGTTTGAGCGTTAGTATAACAGCTGCAGTCCAGGGTTGGAATCCCAGTCTAGCTAGCCCGGCTGTATTACAATAAGAACACGGTTGATGATTATATTTTGTTTATATCATACATATTTTTTCATAAAAGTCCCTAAATGTATGGTTTATCTTTCAGAGATGATTTATCAAAGCTAATTGTCATGGTGGAAGGAACTATTTCCAATTCTAAGTTACTGTTTTGGCAGTAATACGGGCATCAGTCAAAAAATTCCTGTTTTAAACTTTTTTTCTTATATGGATTTTTGGAAAAAGGAGTTATTGTATAACAGAGTTGCACAGAAGTTGTACCATAAATAAAAACTTCAATAGTTTAATTCACAAAATTACAGTATTTGATAAAATAAAATCGGAAACATGAAGTGTGATTGAACCAGGTTCTATAGATATGATAATGATATTTCACTTTCTGTTCCCAGGAATCTGCCTGGTGTTCTTGATGCCATTGTTCAACTCATTCAGGATGAAGACTCTGTAAGTGACATATGTTTTCCCATAAGGAGGGCAAAATACAAATGTGCAGTGATTGTGTCAGTTTTTACCGTACAAATGTGCAGTGATTGTGTCAGATTTTACCGTACAAATGTGCAGTGATTGTGTCAGTTTTTACCGTACAAATATACAGTGATGGTGTCATTTTTTACTGTACAAATGTGCAGCGATGATGTCGGTTTTTACCGTACAAATGTGCAGTGATGATGTCAGTTTTTACCGTACAAATGTGCAGTGATGGTGTCAGTTTTTGTCATGTCTCACTGGCTACAACATTCGTTGCGGTCTAACCTATGTTCAGTGTCACACTCGTTTACAACAATAATGCAGTATGTTTTCACTGTCATGAACCTTTTGTAGTACTCCAGGCCACAGTTTCAGATGTTCAATCCAGTAAGTCTTTATTTGGTAAGGTATTTGTATCATAGCTGATCAAATTAATTGTACAGACAGAATTTACAATGTAAGCAAATTAAGAAAATAATAAAATCAATATAAAATCTGAATGCTAAATTGTTTACATTTGACAGCATTTGGCGTCTTTATCGTTAGCGGATTCCAAGTTGAAGGGTAGCATAGCTACGATACTCAATTCTCTCGGCAGTAACCTTACTTTGGTGGAAATAGACATCAGGTATGTGATTGGACAATCTGGGAAATTAATACTGTAAAGCTAGCGTATAATCTGTAAAGGGGGCTAATCTGAACAAAGAAATAGCAGTTCTCTGTTGATTACAGTAAAGTATGTTGAACCAATAATAGAAGCGGGAATATACTGTCAAAAATACATCAGATAATATAAGGGCCTAGCTTACAGAAGGTCAAACTTTCTGAAATTGTTCATGATGATACACTGTAATTATATGCAGATGTGCAATAGTGGTTTGAAAAATTCTGAAAGTCAAGGTCGCTATTTCTAAAAAATGGAAACGGGAATATACTGTGAAAAATACATCATATAAGGCCCTTCCTTACACAAAACCAAATTTTCTGAAATTTTAAAAGTTGGTACATTTTTCAAGGGCTTTAGAAAGTCTTAAGGTCAACGTTGCTGTTACTTTAAAATAGAACAGGGCATATACTGTCAAAAATGTATTGTTACTGCATGGTCCTTTCTGAACAGTCGATGATCACTTGCTCTTGCTTGGTGCTTATACGGGAGATACACTGTCAGGCAGGCATACAGCGGGCCCTTGCTGACCTGTCAGTATTCTATACGGGAGATACACTGTCAGGCATACAGCGGGCCCTTGCTGACCTGTCAGTATTCTAGTTGTAACCATTTACATCAGTTGGTTTCCATAGTGACCATTTACCTGTTGACATTATGAATGGATTTTATTTGTACAGTGGGAACAACATGGGAGACTTTGGAGCAAGGATGTTATCCAAGGCATTACAAATAAACACCAAGCTACGGACAATTATGTGGGACAAGAATGCAACCACTGTACAAGGCTTTGAGGATATTGCTGGGGCTCTAGAAAAGTAAGAATGGTGTTGATATGTAATTCCTTTGCCTCGACTCTTGTCAAAAGATCTTTATCCTGGCCATATCAGGATCTGTGTTTGTCTCTTTTCTAACTCTTTGGAAAAGATAAATTACAAAAAGTACATAAAGCAAGTTGTATTTTTGTTTTGTTTTATGAATGATATCTAGTGGGTTTGATTTGCATGAAATTTGATTGTATGCAAATTGATTGAGTGTATCATTACTTAAAGTGTATCTTTAAAGACAGTGCATTGTTTAATTTACAAATGTACATATGTTATCAATTTGTTTTTGCAACCTGTTATTAGAAACTACACACTGAAAAAGATGCCAACCCCCATCAATGATGCAGGTCCTGCCCTGAAGCAACATCCAGAGAGAACAGAGTCGGCACTACAGAAGGTACTTTTAGAAAGATTTTTCTACAGTGTTTCAGGTTTAAAGTGTATGACTTCGAGACTTGACCCCATAGCTATAGACTTAAATTGCTGCTACGTACCATCAGGAACATTTTGATGGAACTGTGAAGATTAAATGATGGTCTTCACAGGTGTGCTGCCAAGGCCTGTCAACAATGTTAACTTTATTCCACTCGGCAAATCAATAACAGGCCGATTCAAAAGCTGATCTCATTTGATTTGTTCCTAATTGTTAAGTGCAAGTGTGAAACAACTAGTGTGAGATCTGTTTAAGGTTTTTTACCTAATTAGGATTTATTTTTTGTGTTTATCAGATTGAGATGTTACTACAACGAAACCACAGTCCACAGAAGTATTCATCTGACCAAGGCTTCAGGATGCAACAGGGGTTCCTGGTCAGTTCCACCCAACAGGTATGGTCATCTCTTAACATCAAACCACAAGTGATCAGAAGTAAGATTTAAGAATCATATAATGGTTATATCCACATCTTTCTCAATTAGTTATTGTTCAATCATATATTGTTTAAGGTAACTATCTTCTTCAAATTGTAATTCTACAAATTTGATATCTTCATGATCACTTTCCTATTGCAAGATGTCTTAGCATTGATTCAAGAGATAAGCAGTCACAAATTCTACAAATCTATGTTTAAATCACAGTCTACATAATATATAGCAGTGTACCTGTGAGACGATGAACATGAGAAGAACTACAGTTTACATGCGGAACAGTCTGCATGTGAAACACAATCAACATCTGAAGCACAATAACATAATATGAAGCACAAAAACATGTGAAGCACAATAACATGTGAAATGCAATAACATGTGAAACACAATCAACATGTATTATATCTGTGTTGATGTAAAAGTTATTTAGAAGATGATTTTGCTCTGATGACCTTTTATTGACCTTGACCTTTACAGATGATGGACAGACTGGTGGTACAGAACCAGGACACAGTGAATGCCCTAGACCGTGGTAACACAGAAGACTTCCAGTCAGACATGGACATGGCCAACAGCCTTATTAAGGATGCAGGCAACTCCAAACAGGTACAGGCATATCAGGTTAAGGGTTTCACACTCCGAACAGGTATATCAGGTTAGGGGTTTCACTCTCCAAACATGTACAGGTATAGCAGGTTAAGGGATTCACACTCCAAACAGGTACAGGTATATCAGGTTAGGGGTTTCACTCTCCAAACATGTACAGGTATAGCAGGTTAAGGGATTCACACTCCAAACAGGTCCAGGCATATCAGGTTAAGGGTTGCACACTCCAAACAGGTATGTCAGGTTAAGGGGTTCACACTCCCAACAGGTATGTCAGGTTAAGGGTTTCACACTCCAAACAGGTACAGGCATATCAGGTTAAAGGTTTCACACTCAAACAGGTATATCAGGTTAAGGGTTTCACACTCCAAACATGTACAGGTATATCAGGTTAAGGGTTTCACACTCCAAACAGGTACATGCATATCATGTTAAGGGTCACACACTCCAAACAGGCATATCAGGTTAAGGGTTTCACACTCCAAACATGTACAGGGATATCAGGTTAAGGGTTTCACACTCCAAACATGTACAGGTATATCAGGTTAAGGGTTTCCCACTCCAAACAGGTACAGGCATATCAGGTTAAGGGCTTCACACTCCAAACAGGTACAGGCATATCAGGTTAAAGGTCTCACACTCCAAACAGGTACAGGCATATCATGTTAAAGGTCTCACACTCTAAACAGGCATATCATGTTAAGGGTTTCACACTCCAAACAGGTACAGTCATATCAGGTTAAGGGTTTCACACTCCAAACAGGTGCAGGCATATCAGGTTAAAGGTTTCACACTCAAACAGGTATATCAGGTTGAGGGTTTCACACTCCAAACATGTACAGGTATATCAGGTTAAGGGTCTCACACTCCAAACAGTTACAGGCATATCAGGTTAAGGGTCTCACACTCCAAACATGTACAGGTATATCAGGTTAAGGGTTTCACACTCCCAACAGGTACAGGCATATCAGGTTAAGGGTTTCACACTCCAAACAGGCATATCATGTTAAAGGTCTCACACTCCAAACAGGCATATCATGTTAAGGGTTTCACACTCCAAACAGGTACATGCATATCATGTTAAGGGTGTCACACTCCAAACAGGTACAGGCATATCAGGGTAAGGGTTTCACACTCCAAACAGGCATATCATGTTAAGGGTTACACACTCCAAACAGGTACATGCATATCATGTTAAGGGTCACACGCTCCAAACAGGTACATGCATATCAGGTTAAGGGTCTCACACCCCAAACAGGCATATCAGGTTAAGGGTTTCACACTCCAAACAGATATATCAGGTTTAGGGTTTCACACTCCAAACAGGTATATCAGGTTAAGGGTCTCACGCGCCAAACAGGTATATCAGGTTAAGGGTCTCACACTCCAAACAGTTACAGGCATATCAGGTTAAGGGTCACACACCCAAAACAGGTACATGCATATCAGGTTAAGGGTCACACACCCCAAACAGGTCAGGTATATATGTTAAAGGTCTCACACTCCAAACATGCATATCTTGTTAAGGGTTTCACACTCCAAACAGGTACATGCATATCATGTTAAGGGACTCACACTCCAAACAGGTACAGGCATATCATGTCAAAGGTCTCACACTCCAAACAGGTACAGGCATATTACAGGTATATCAGGTTAAAGGTCTCACACTCATCATGTTAAGGGTCACACACTCCAAACAGGTACATGCATATCAGGTTAAGGGTCACACACCCAAAACAGGTACATGCATATCAGGTTAAGGGTCTCACACCCCAAACAGGCACATCAGGATAAGGGTTTCACACTCCAAACAGGTACATGCATATCATGTTAAGGGACTCACACTCCAAACAGGTACAGGCATATCATGTGCATATCATGTTAAGGGTTTCACACTCCAAACAGGTACATGCATATCATGTTAAGGGTCACACGCTCCAAACAGGTACATGCATATCAGGTTAAGGGTCTCACACCCCAAACAGGCACATCAGGATAAGGGTTTCACACTCCAAACAGGTACATGCATATCATGTTAAGGGTGTCACACTCCAAACAGGTACATGCATATCATGTTAAGGGTCTCACACTCCAAACAGTTACAGGCATATCAGGTTAAGGGTCTCACACTCCAAACAAGGGTTTCACACTCCAAACAGGTATATCAGGTTAAGGGCTTCACACTCCAAACAGGTACAGGCATATCAGGTTCAGGGTTTCACACTCCAAACAGGCATATCATGTTAAGGGTTTCACACTCCAAACAGGTACAGGCATATCAGGTTCAGGGTTTCACACTCCAAACAGGCATATCATGTTAAGGGTCTCACACTCCAAACAGGTACATGCATATCATGTTAAGGGTGTCACACTCCAAACAGGTACAGGCATATCAGGGTAAGGGTTTCACACTCCAAACAGGCATATCATGTTAAAAGTCTCACACTCCAAACAGGCATATCATGTTAAGGGTCTCACACTCCAAACAGTTACAGGCATATCAGGTTAAGGGTCACACACCCAAAACAGGTACATGCATATCACACTCCAAACAGGTACAGGCATATCAGGTTCAGGGTTTCACACTCCAAACAGGCATATCATGTTAAGGGTTACACACTCCAAACAGGTACATGCATATCATGTTAAGGGACTCACACTCCAAACAGGTACAGGCATATCATGTGCATATCATGTTAAGGGTTTCACACTCCAAACAGGTACATGCATATCATGTTAAGGGACTCACACTCCAAACAGGTACAGGCATATCATGTCAAAGGTCTCACACTCCAAACAGGTACAGGCATATCAGGTTCAGGGTTTCACACTCCAAACAGGCATATCATGTTAAAGGTCTCACACTCCAAACATGCATATCTTGTTAAGGGTTTCACACTCCAAACAGGTACATGCATATCATGTTAAGGGTCACACACTCCAAACAGGTACATGCATATCAGGTTAAGGGTCTCACACCCCAAACAGGCATATCAGGTTAAGGGTTTCACACTCCAAACAGGTACATGCATATCATGTTAAGGGTCACACACGCCAAACAGGTACATGCATATCAGGTTAAGGGTCACACACCCCAAACAGGTACATGCATATCATGTTAAGGGTCTCACACTCGTAACAGGTACATGAATATCATGTTAAGGGTCACACACTCCAAACAGGTACATGCATATCAGGTTAAGGGTCACACACTCCAAACAGGTACATGCATATCAGGTTAAGGGTCACCCACCCCAAACAGGTACATGCATATCAGGTTAAGGGTCTCACACTCCAAACAGGTACATGCATATCAGGTTAAGGGTCTCACACTCCAAACAGGCATATCATGTTAAAGGTCTCACACTCCAAACAGGTATATCAGGTTAAGGGTCTCACACTCCAAACAGTTACAGGCATATCAGGTTAAGGGTCTCACACTCCAAACAGTTACAGGCATATCAGGTTAAGGGTCACGCACCCAAAACAGGTACAGGTTTATCATGTTAAGGTTCTCACACTCCAAACAGGTACAGGTATATCATGTTAAGGGTCTCACACTCCAAACAGGTACAGGCATATCAGGTTAAGGGTCACACACCCAAAACAGGTACAGGTTTATCATGTTAAGGGTCTCACACTCCAAACAGGTACAGGTATATCAGGTGAAAGGTCTCACACTCCAAACAGGTACAGGTATATCAGGTTAAGGGTTTCACACTCCAAACAGGTACAGGCATATCATGTTAAGGGTCTCACACCCCAAACAGGTCAGGTTAGGGGTCACACACTCCAAACAGGTACAGGTATATCAGGTTAAGGGTCTCACACTCCAAACAGGTACAGGTATATCATGTTAAGGGTCTCACACTCCAAACAGGTACAGGCATATCATGTTAAGGGTCTCACACCCAAAACTGGTCAGGTTAAGGGTTTCACACTCCAAACAGGTACAGGCACATCAGGTTAAGGACCTCACACCCCAAACATATCATGTTAAGGGTCTCACACTCCAAACAGGTACAGGTATATCAGGTTAAAGGTCTCACACTCCAAACAGGTACAGGTATATCAGGTTAAGGGTTTCACACTCCAAATAGGCATATCATGTTAAGAGTTTCACACTCCAAACAGGTACAGGCATATCAGATTAAGGGTCTCACCCTCCAAACAGGTACAGGCATCATGTTAAGGGTCTCACACTCCAAACATGCATATCTTGTTAAGGGTTTCCCACTCCAAATAGGCATATCATGCTAAGGGTCTCACACTCCACACAGGTACAGGCATCATGTTAAGGGTCTCTCACTCCAAACAGGTACAGGCGTATCATGTTAAGGGTCTCCCACGCCAAACAGGTATAGGCATATCAGGTTAAGGATCTCACACTCCAAACAGGCACAGGTATATCAGGTTAATGATTTCACACTCCAAATAGGCATATCATGTTAAGAGTTTCACACTCCAAACAGGTACATGCATATCATGTTAAGGGTTTCACACTCCAAACAGGTAGAGGCATATCATGTTAAGGGTCTCACACTCCAAACAGTTACAGGCATATCAGTTAAGGGTTTCACACTCCAAACATTTAAAGGCATATCAGGTTAAGGGTCTCACACTCCAAACAGGTACAGGCATATAAGGTTAAGGGTCTCACACTCCAAACAGGTACAGGCATATAAGGTTAAGGGTCTCACACTCCAAACAGGTACAGGCATATCAGGTTAAGGGTTTCACACTCCAAACAGGCATATCATGTTAAAGGTCTCACACTCCAAACAGGTACAGGCATATAAGGTTAAGGGTCTCACACTCCAAACAGGTACAGGCATATCATGTTAAGGATATCATGTTAAAGGTCTCACACTCCAAACAGGTACAGGCATATCAGTTAAGGGTTTCACACTCCAAACATTTAAAGGCATATCAGGTTAAGGGTCTCACACTCCAACCAGTTACAGGCATATCAGGTTAAGGGTCACACACCCCAAACAGGTCAGGTTAGGGGTCTCACACCCCAAACAGGTACAGGCACATATCAGGTTAAGGGTCTAACACTCCAAACAGGTACATGCATATCAGGTTATATTTAAGGGTCTCACACCCCAAACTGGTCAGGTTAAGGGTCTGACACTCCAAACAGGTACAGGCACATCAGGTTAAGGGTCTCACACCCCAAACAGGTCAGGTTAAGGGTCTCACATTACAAATAGGTGTAGGGCACATCCATTACATGCAGAAAAACTCTACAGAATTACCAGGCACATGTAGTTAACAAAGGTTACTCCAAACACATACAAGGCACATCAAATTTTCAGTCAGCTTAATAGTTTTATTAGTCAGCTTTTCAATGACTTTAACCTTTAATCCTTAATTGCTCAATGGCATGAAACAGTGGATAGATGGTTTCTTTTTGAACAACATGATATTATGTAGAGGTCAATCAAAGTAAGTGATATGAAAAGGAATCACTTTAATTACATAGGTTATATGGAAGATAAAACGGTAGAACTAAATTTTAAAAACCATGGTGTATTTTATGAAGCTCATTATTGTATAATTCTGGAAATTATAATAAAAAATATGTTTATCTTGTAATTTTCATAATGCAAATGTTAATGTCACTTTACAAAGGGGGAGAGACAAACATGATGAATGTAAATGAGATAATAGTAAAAATAATTTGCCTAAAAAATGTCATTTGTGTTGTATTTCTGGTACAGTTGCTGCCACAATTACAAGTAATTGCCAACAAGTCGCTGTCAACGGGCAACCCGGTGGAGGCATGTCTGAAGGAGATGTCCGACACTTTGAGGCAGGTGCTGGAGAAACACATGAAGGTATGTCATTGCTATGCTCTGTCTCTTGTAGGGAGAAGGAGGGGCTCTTAATGAGTCTCATATACAGGCTACATGCACAAATCTGACTGTGTCTCATATACAGGCTACAGACACAAATCTGACTGTGTCTCATACACAGGCTACAGGCACAAATCTGACTGTGTTTCATACACAGGCTACAGGCACAAATGTGACTGTGTCTCATATACAGGCTACAGGCACAAATCTGACTGTGTCTCATATACAGGCTACAGACACAAATCTGACTGTGTCTCATATACAGGCTACAGGCACAAATCTGACTGTGTCTCATATACAGGCTACAGGCACAAATCTGACTGTGTCTCATATACAGGCTACAGGCACAAATCTGACTGTGTCTCATACACAGGCTACAGGCACAAATCTGACTGTGTTTCATACACAGGCTACAGGCACAAATGTGACTGTGTCTCATATACAGGCTACAGGCACAAATCTGACTGTGTCTCAGGATTTTAGTTTTAGGTTTTGTTGATTTTCCCATGGATAATGATTTCATGTTAGAAAATATTGTGAGATTGACAAATGGTAATCTATACATTAAAGGAATATATGATTTTATATTTTGATCATTTTATTTTAATTCTATGCATAAAATACCTGAAACTGCTAGTCTGTATTGAAAGGTTATTTTTGTCAGTGCATAATCTTTAAAAACAGATATTTCAATTTTGTATTCAAAGTCTTTGATGAATGTTCAAAGATTTGTATAAAGATCTTCATCAATATATGTATTGTTTCTATGTTGAAACAGAAAACTGTTGAAGACATGTTTGAATGTACAAGTAACCAGTGTGCTTCTGTCATGGCTAATAAGGTAAGTAAAGCACTCAATGTTTTGTCTTTGTCTTGACTCTTGTCATAAAAATTGATTTCAGAATAAAGAAACTCCTACATATGAAATTGACCAATCTTTATAGCACTATTCATTTTCTAATTGTCTGATACAATCACACAATAAATGCTTTTTATTCATAAAACAATCAAGTTAAGTCAATTTTGTTTTTAGCCCACCATCAGATGATGGTGGGCTATTCAAATCAGTCCGTGGTCCGTCCAATTCTTGTTATCGGTATTTCTCCAGAAGTACCAGTGGGATCTTTCTCAAATTTTATATGTAGGTTCCCCTTGGTCCTTAGCTGTGCAGGGCAACTTTTGAGACTGATCAGATAAACAACATGGCCGACAGGCAGCCATCTTGGATTTTGATAGTGAAAGTTTGTTATTGCTATTTCTCGGGAAGTACGGGAAGGATCTTTCTCAAATTTTATATGTAGGTTCCCCTTGTTCCCTTATTGTGCAACAGTGCCTGAAATGGACGGTCGCTTGCTCCCCAATGGCGGTTAAAGTCTTGCTCGAGTTAATAAAAGTTGTCAAAAGTGAGGTAGTCACTGGCCCAACAAAAATTGTTTGAGCTACTGTTGAAAAATTAATGAATAAAAGAAATTATAGTCCCTTCCACATTAGCTGGGGGGGGGGGAGGGGGCAGTACATTTTTCAGTTGTCATTACTTCGATTTGAATCAAACTGTCCGTGATTTAGAAAATGTTATGATTTTTTTTCTGATTTTCTATATAAATACTGCCAGGGTGTCTTCTTTGAGGTGCAAGTTTTGTTTATTTCTTTTTGAGAAGACCTGAATGGTGCTGAAGCATTTGTGTTCAATGATGTGGAAATATTTCTTCCAAAATTATTTGGTCCACCAATATGTCATTTGGGCCAGTGCTTCAAAAATTGTAATCGCCCCCAATTTTTTTAGGTGCCAGCCAATGCAGGTTCCCCACTATCCTTTATTGTTCATGTTTACTTTTGAAACTGATCAGTTAAACAAAATGGCCTACCGACAGCCATCTTCGATTTTTTTAAATTAGTACTATTTCTCAGGAACAAATTGAGGGATATTTCTCAAATTTGATATGTAGGTTCCCCTTGATCCCTCGTTGTGCATGTTATATTTTGAAACTGATCATAAAAACAAAATGGCTAAAGGAAGAACTAAACAGATCTTTATCATATTGCAATGATCGATTCTATTTCATTCACATTAAGTACTGTACTAGTAAATATGTGAAATGACAAACTCACTTTGAAGTTTGGCTTTCATACACATCAGTATTAAGTTTAGATCAAAAGTTAGCTCAAGGTGCATTTACTGTTAACATGACTCGATCAAACAGATTAGAGAAAAGATCAAACTAACAAAGAACTAATGAAGATGGTACAATGGTGGGTGCCAAGATCCCTCTGGGATCTCTTGTTTTAAGTTGGTATCATATACAAATAATAAATACAAGCTTTATTAGTTTTTAGCTCACATTGCCCGAAGAGGTTCTTTTGAATGACTTATAGTCATAAATACTAATAGTTTGCCTGTAGCTTTATTTTAGATCACTTTTAAGTTTACAAGTTTTAGATTAATACCAGGTGAGCGATACAGGCTCATCTGGCCTCTTGTTTATGAAAAGTCAGAAAAATGTCACAAAATGAAGTATGTTAAATGGCATGAGATCCAATCTTTTCTGAAATATAAGCATTCATTTATCTTCTTTTTCTTTACAAAGGAGTTGCTTTCTGACTTGGAAACCAATTGTGCAGAGAGAAGCTCACTTCCTAAAGATTTTACCAAACATATCTTGGACAGTGTGGAAACAGAGATATTTAACAAGCTAAGGTAGGTGATGTCTGATCTGTCAAACATATCATAGACAGTGTAGAAACACAGATATTTAACAAGCTAAGGTGGGCGATGTGTGTCAAACATATCATAGACAGTGTAGAAACAGAGATATTTAACAAACTAAGGTGGGCGATGTGTGTCAAACATATCTTAGACAGTGTAAAAACAGAGATATTTAACAAACTAAGGTGGGCGATGTGTGTCAAACATATCTTAGACAGTGTAAAAACAGAGATATTTAACAAACTAAGGTGGGCGATGTGAGACAGAGTAGAAACAGAGATATTTAACAAGCTAAGGTGGGCGATGTGTGTCAAACATGTCTTAGACAGTGTAGAAACAGAGATATTTAACAAGGTAAGGTGGGTGATGTCTGATCTGTCAAACATATCTTCGACAGTGTAGAAACAGAGATATTTACCAAACTAAGGTGGGCGATGTGTGTCAAACATATCTTAGACAGTGCAGAAACAGAGATATTTAACAAACTAAGATGGGCGATGTGTGTCAAACATATCTTAGACAGGGCAGAAACAGAGATATTTAACAAACTAAGATGGGCGATGTGTGTCAAACATATCTTAGCCAGTGTAGAAACAGAGATATTTAACAAACTAAGGTGAGCGATGTGAGACAGTGCAGAAACAGAGATATTTAACAAGCTAATTAAGGTGGGTGATGTCATGATCTGTCAAACATATCTTAGTGTAGAAACAGAGATATTTAACAAGCTAAGGTGGGTGATGGCTGATCTGTCAAACATATCATAGACAGTGTAGAAACAGAGATCTTTAACAAACTAAGGTGGGTGATGTGAGACAGTGTAGAAACAGAGATATTTAAGAAGCTAATTAAGGTGGGTGATGTCATGATCTGTCAAACATATCTTAGTGTAGAAACAGAGATATTTAACAAGCTAAGGTGGGTGATGTCTGATCTGTCAAACATATCATAGACAGTGTAGAAACAGAGATATTTAACAAACTAAGGTGGGCGATGTGTGTCAAACATATCTTAGACAGTGTAGAAACAGAGATATTTAACAAACTAAGATGGGCGATGTGTGTCAAACATATCTTCGACAGTGTAGAAACAGAGATATTTAACAAACTAAGGTGAGCGATGTGAGACAGTGCAGAAACAGAGATATTTAACAAGCTAATTAAGGTGGGTGATGTCATGATCTGTCAAACATATCTTAGACAGTGTAGAAACAGAGATATTTAACAAACTAAGGTGAGCGATGTGAGACAGTGCAGAAACAGAGATATTTAACAAGCTAATTAAGGTGGGTGATGTCATGATCTGTCAAACATATCTTAGACAGTGTAGAAACAGAGATATTTAACAAGCTAAGGTGAGTGATGTGTGTCAAACATATCCTAGACAGTACTAGTGTAGAAACAGAGCTATTTAACAAACTTAGGTGAGTGATGTCTGATCTGTCAAACATATCTTAGACAGTGTAGAAACAGAGATATTTAACAAACTAAGATAGGTTCTGATATGTCAAACATTTCTAAAAGGTAGTGACAAGATAAGGTAGGTTTTGATCTGTCTTGTGTAGACGGGAAAGGAAACTGTGTCTCATATTTCTTTGGTATTTTAAGGAAAGAACATTTCTTTTTGAAGTTTCTCTTAGATCCAAATAGTTTTACAATCCACATAAACACAACTTTTCTATAAATAATTGACGTTATGTTTCTTCAGTATCTGACCACCACCATGACCACACTCTGTAGACTATCCAAAAAGACCATACACATGAACCGACCTGGTAGACAATTTCTTACAGGCCCCGGGAATGTAGTCATCACTAACAGGACATATATTCTCTAACCTTGGGGTCTAGGCCTATACTCATTTTACATAATTATATAATGGCTCTGTAGAGTTCCCTGACTACATGTCAAGTAAATACAAAGTTTACAGTGACTCATGTTTAAACAATACTTTTACAGCAAGCTAAATTTAGTGGTAGCTACCCACGTCTCTGATAAAGTTAACAGTGACTCATCTTTAAACTTTACTGTTACAGCGAGCTGAATTTAGTGGTAGCTACCCATGTCTCTGACAAAGTGATGGATGAGGTTATAGACTCCCTGTCATCAAGTCACAAAACACTGGTATGTATTTGTAATTTTGCATAAGAGAGTTTTTAATTCATGACCTCTATGTTGAGTTTTCAATTCATGACCTTTACGTTGAGAGTTTTCAGTACATGACCTTAACGTTGAGAGTTTTCAGTACATGACCTTTACGTTGAGAGTTTTCAGTACATGACCTTAACGTTGAGAGTTTTCAGTACATGACCTTTACGTTGAGAGTTTTCAGTACATGACCTTTACGTTGAGAGTTTTCAGTACGTGAACTTTACGTTGAGAGTTTTCAGTACGTGACCTTTATGTTGAGAGTTTTCAGTACGTGACCTTTACGTTGAGAGTTTTCAGTACATGACCTTAACGTTGAGAGTTTTCAGTACATGACCTTAACGTTGAGAGTTTTCAGTACATGACCTTAACGTTGAGAGTTTTCAGTACATGACCTTAACGTTGAGAGTTTTCAGTACATGACCTTAACGTTGAGAGTTTTCAGTACATGACCTTAACGTTGAGAGTTTTCAGTACATGACCTTTCCGTTGAGAGTTTTCAGTACGTGAACTTTACGTTGAGAGTTTACAGTACGTGACCTTTATGTTGAGAGTTTTCAGTACATGCCCTTTACGTTGAGAGTTTTCAGTACGTGACCTTTACGTTGAGAGTTTTCAGTACATGACCTTAACGTTGAGAGTTTTCAGTACATGATTTATATGTTGAATTTTTCCATTCCATAACCTTTACATTGATTTTTTTTATCCATGATTTATATGTTGAATTTTTCTATTCCATAACCTTTACATTGATTTTTTTTGTCCATGACCTTTGTCTGCAGACGAACCACCTAAATGTGATGAAGAGCAGCACATCTATGAAGAGTCAACGTGAGTCTAAGAAGGAAGATTTGGAAGGCAAGGATGTGGAGGAGAAATTGGACGAGGGCAAGGAGAAGCCAGATACTGGTAGTCAAGAAAAGATCTCACTCAAAGTGGACTCCTCCCCAATGGTATATATCAATATCTGCCCCAGTCTCTTCATCTCTTCGCCCAATACTCAATGTTTTTTCATCGTATATCTGACCCAAATCTCTACAGTATTGATCATTATTGATGTCAATGCAGCGATTCATCAACCCAAGGGATATGATATTTCATTTAAGACTGAAAGTCGAATTCTTCAAGACGTAGTAAAGGCTGTAATAGACATGCCCTGTACAGAATGTGTAGATATAATGACATTTGTATGGTATACATGTATTTTGGTTTTCGGGAAAAAGATATCCCAGAAAAAAATGTTCAAATTGTTTTGAAATATTTTTGCTAAAATAACCTCTCCAGTATTGAATAATTAAAGCCCCTTAAACCTAGTTGTTTAGGGGACTTGTTCCTTGAATGTGTTTTAGCTTATTCACCCCTGAAGTTTCATAATGATACCATTCCAATGTTTGAGTTGGAAGAGTTCAAATGTGTCTTCAGGGGTGAATGAGTTAAACAGAACAATGTAAGATTTTTTTAAATTTTCTTTAGGTATACTGCATAACATGGAATGTTCGTGTGTACTTTCTTTCATGGTTTGGAGCTTTCAAGTTATTTTGTGGGTACAAACTTTCGTAGTTAACCCGTAAGAACTGTATTAATTTTCGTGGTTAGCCATGTACAACGAAATATATCCACCTTTCCGAGAATCATTGGTCTAACACCATAACACATTTGCGGTATATTTTAAAATGACAAAGAGTCACACTCATCATACTTCTCTGTTCATGTCAAGTAAATAAAATAATTATCACAGAGGTAAAGTGAATATAACTACGGTGGGACCCTGACCTGATCTCGCGACGCTTTGTAGGCCTACCGTTTCACTTGATTGATCACATACTTAATCAATAATAAATGACATTTATAAAACAGATTGATAACACATGTCAATTTTAGTAAATACATAATTTTACTATTTTAAATGAATTGTTCAAGTATCTTAAAATATTCGTCTGTGAAATCAAATCGCTGTGTCAATATCACACGAAATGTGAAATTGGTATGTAAACTAGAATAGGAACACGTTCTGATGAAATCCGGAATTGTAAAGCCGCGAAAATGCGTACATTTTATAACTACAATTACTTCAGGTTCATATAATTTTCACATTACCGTTGTGTACATACTTTCAAGTAGTAGAAATATTCGTTGTATATATATCCATAGCAACCACAAAAACAACGCAAGTTTATACACAACAAACATTTCATGTTATACAGTATATGTTGGTTGATGTACTGTTTGTGAGGAAAACTATAAATAACTGTATACATTGTACTGTAGCTCAGAAAACAATAAATAACTATATACATTGTACTGTAGCTCACGTTCTGGTGTGACGGAACTGAAAACACCTGGGTAGATATCAAATTCATCAAGCGTTTCTTTTTTTTCTTCTCTGAAAATAATTCATCTCTCTGACAGCGAAAAAATAATTCATCTCTCTGACAGCGAAAAAGCTAATACTACTACTAATACAGCAGCTGTTAAAATTGAGATCCAGTGACAGCTTTACAGTAATTTAATTCCATTTTGAGGCCTGCTATATTAAAGACTAAGTACACGTCCTGGACAAGCGTCCTCTGGTGTTGTTCTCCTCTGCTTAGTCAACATGAAGTCCCACTGGGTTGATTCACTTCAAATTTGTTACAAGAAAGTTTGACCCTGCAAAATTAAAACACTTTGTATAACTAAGATTTTATTGTGCCATGAATATAATATCATTATCAATACTATAAACTGGCATGCTTGTATCACAATTGTATATTTGCACCTGTAGATTGTTGCCAGGGTACAGTATAGAGAGTGTGCTTGAAGGTAGAACACTCCCTGTCCAGACACTTACATTATATAACAGAAACACTTTCTGTTACAGTTCCTGTTTCTGCATCCTGGAAAATGTGTTTTTCTGGAAATGTTTTAAGGAATTGATGTTTCTAGATGACGATTTTCCACTAGATTATAATCACACTTTGTACTGCATATGAGTATACAAAATTTACAGATATTTCCCTATTAAACACATGTCTATAGTCATACAGTGCATGGTTGACCCTGGCCAGACGCTTATTGAATTCAAGAGTGTACAACTCTTTTTTCCTACGTTTTATTTCTTTTAAAAACATACTACAAAACTAAAAAAGAATTCTATGAAATTTCAAATTTAAGAGAAATATATAAAAATAATTGAACAAACTTTCATGCATAGAGTTGTATAAAAAAAATCCTTACAGAGAAACTTAATAGTTTTATTAATACAAACACTTGGAATTGTACAGCTCTTTCATTGACATTTTGACAAGTTGCTACTGTATGTCTCATGGTATCTTTATTTACATGTTGTCAAGTATAATATATACAGTGTATAGCATGAGATAAATGCTCGGCTGACATGATTCCATATATGCTTTTTAGGTCACCTGAGCTTTAGCTCAAGTGACCTATTGCTATCCGTTTTCGTCCGTCGTCGTCCGTCGTCCGTCGTCCGTCGTACGTCGTCCGTCGTCCGTCGTCCGTCGTCCGTCGTCCGTTAACATTTTACATTTCAAACTTAAAGTCAAGTTCTGCTGGGCCGATTGAACTGAAAGTTGGTAGGAATGATCGCCTCATGGTCCTGACAAAGTGTTGTTATTTTTCGGGTCGATCAGAAATCCAATATGGCCACCACGGCTGCCATTTTGGAAAACTATTTCAAACTTAAAGTAAAGATCTACTTGGCCGATTGAACTGAAACTTTGTAGGAATGATCGAATCATGGTCCTGACAAAGTGTTGTTATTTTTCGGGTCAATCAGAAATACAATTTGGCTGCCATGGCCGCTATTTTGCTACTAAGTTCTAATAGGCCGATCTCACTTAAAATTGGTCTAGGAATGATCAGCTCATGGTCCTGACAAAGTTAAGTTAACATTATACTATTTTTTACTCAAATTGGTACATATTTCAACAACAAAAATAAATACTATAGACTCAGGTGACCGTTAAGGCCCATGGGCCTCTTGTTTGCAGATATAATCTCAGTCATGTTCCATATCATTCAGGATCCATATCATTCTGTTTCTTATTTTCATCAAAATCAATAAAAGAAAAAAAATGAAATTGTCTTTACAAACTGAATATATGGATTCAACTCAGCAACCATCTATAGCTAATTCAGCAGCAATAACAATATGTCATCAAGTTGTCTGCCCCTCTAGTCTTATAAGTGTCAGAATATCTGAGCTATAGTCATTCATCAGGATATTTGGGCTCTAGTCATTCATCAGGATATCTGGTATCTAGTCATTCATCAGGATATTTGGCCTCTAGTCATTCATCAGGATATTTGGCCTCTAGTCATTTGTCAGGATATTTGGCCTCTAGTCATTCATCAGGATATCTGGTATCCATCAGGATATCCGGCCTCTACTCCTCTAGTCATTCATCATGATATCTGGTATCTAGTCATTCATCAGGGTATCTGGTATCTAGTCATTCATCAGGATATCTGGTATCTAGTCATCCATCAGGATATCCGGCCTCTACTCATTCATCATGATATCTGGTATCTAGTCATTAATCAGGGTATCTGGTATCTAGTCATTCATCATGATATCTGGTATCTAGTCATTAATCAGGGTATCTGGTATCTAGTCATTCATCAGGATATTTTGTATCTAGTCATTCATCAGGATATCTGGTATCTAGTCATCCATCAGGATATCCGGCCTCTACTCATTCATCATGATATCTGGTATCTAGTCATTCATCAGGATATCCGGCCTCTAGTCATTCATCAGGATATTTGGCATCTAGTCATTCATCAGGATATCTGGTATCTAGTCATTCATCAGGGAATCTGGTATCTAGTCATTCATCAGGATACCTGGTATCTAGTCATTCATCAGGATATTTGTCCTCTAGTCATTCATCAGGATATCTGGAATCTAGTCATTCATCAGGATATCTGGTATCTAGTCATTCATCAGGATACCTGGTATCTAGTCATTCATCAGGATATCTTGTAGCTAGTCATTCATCAGGATATCTGGTATCTAGTCCTTCATCAGGATATCTGGTATCTAGTCATTCATCAGGATATCCGGTCTCTAGTCATTCATCAGGATATTTGGCATCTAGTCATTCATCAGGATATCTGGTATCTAGTCCTTCATCAGGATATCTGGTATCTAGTCATTCATCAGGGAATCTGGTATCTAGTCATTCATCAGGATATTTGTCCTCTAGTCATTCATCAGGATATCTGGAATCTAGTCATTCATCAGGATATCTGGTATCTAGTCATTCATCAGGGAATCTGGTATCTAGTCATTCATCAGGATATTTTGTATCTAGTCATTCATCAGGATATCCGGTCTCTAGTCATTCATCAGGATATTTGGTATCTAGTCATTCGTCAGGATATTTGGCCTCTAGTCATTAATCAGGATATCTGGTATCTAGTCATTCATCAGGGAATCTGGTATCTAGTCATTCATCAGGATATCCGGCCTCTAGTCATTCATCAGGATATTTGGCCTTTAGTAATTCATCAGGATATTTGGCCTCTCGTCATTCATCAGGATATCTGGTATCTAGTCCTTCATCAGGATATCTGGTATCTAGTCATCCATCAGGATATCCGGCCTCTACTCATTCATCATGATATCTGGTATCTAGTCATTAATCAGGGTATCTGGTATCTAGTCATTCATCAGGATATTTTGTATCTAGTCATTCATCAGGATATCTGGCCTCTAGTCATTCATCATGATATCTGGTATCTAGTCATTCATCAGGGAATCTGGTATCTAGTCATTCATCAGGATATCTGGTATCTAGTCATTCATCAGGATATCTGCTTCTTAGTCCTATGATCTTGATATCTGTCCTCTTATTCATATCCAGACATCTGTCCCTTTGATCATAATATTAGGATATCTGCCCCAACTGATCATATCATTAAGATATCTGTTCCCTTTGTCAAATCTAAGGATATCTGGTCTCCTAATCATATTTTCAGGATATCTACCCCCTAATCATATCATCAGGATATCTACCCCCTAGTCATATTTTCAGGATATCTACCCCCTTGTCATATTTTCAGGATATATACCCCCTAGTAATATTTTCAGAATATCTACCCCCTAGTAATATTTTCAGAATATCTACCCCCTACATGTAGTCATATTTTCAGGATATCTGCCCCTTTAGTAATATCATCAGGATATCTGTCGCTGTCATTATCTCGTACAGAGATATCTACCCCTCCAGTCATGCTATCAGCATTACTGTCGATCTAGTCGTTTCATTAGGATATCTGTCTTTGTCTGCTATTCTTAGCTGTTTACTAAATTAATTCTTTATTTTACCACAGAATTGTGCCTGTAACTTCTACTGTCATAGATTTCCTTCCAGAATAAAGCTTTCTCTTTCATGTAAATGGCCAACAACCAATTTTCTATGTTTTAATACATGTCATTAACTTTTAGCCAGTATCGAACAGACTTGAGGTTGTTACCAAGGTAACTAGCATAAGCTTCATCGGCATGACTAGCGCATCTTCTGCAACCTTTGATCCTCAACCGATCTTTGCTTCATGTTGCCCTTGGTTGATTTGCTTAATAATGATACTAAGTTATGGGATTGCTGCCATTTCTTGCAGGTGTCAGGCTCATGCTATCGGTGAACGGTTTAAATGCACACATATATCCAGGTGTATGATAGTCTATTCCTCATTTCATGAGATTGCATGATTTAACTGTAAACAGAACTATTGCAGTTGTACAGTGGGATATTAAATGAATTATAATGTGGACATTTAGACATTTTTTTATGACATGAGAAATGTCAGCACCAACTACGTTGCAGCAAAAGTTATTTTTATTTTCTTTAAGCTAATTTGCATTCATATTGTATATGAATGTCAGTCGAAACCTAATCAGTACTGATATATATATACATATTGTATATGAATGTCAGTCGAAACCTAATCAGTACTGATATATATATACATATTGTATATGAATGTCAGTCGAAACCTAATCAGTACTGATATATATATACATATTGTATATGAATGTCAGTCGAAACCTAATCAGTACTGATATATATATACATATTGTATATGAATGTCAGTCGAAACCTAATCAGTACTGATATATATATACATATTGTATATGAATGTCAGTCGAAACCTAATCAGTACTGATATATATATACATATTGTATATGAATGTCAGTCGAAACCTAATCAGTACTGATATATATATACATATTGTATATGAATGTCAGTCGAAACCTAATCAGTACTGATATATATATACATATTGTATATGAATGTCAGTCGAAACCTAATCAGTACCGATATATATATACATTAAGACTTCAAATGAAAACAAAATTAAATACAATCTCTAAGTACAGAGACAGGGAAAATTCAAATATAATGCAAGGTCAGCGTATATGGATTGATAATGATAGGGGCTACTAAAAAATGCATATTTATGTATGAATATCATATAGCTGTGATACTAACAGAGAATGAACAGAGCTCAACTGTTAACATTGGTCCTGCATATCTGTGCTTCATTGTCTCTTTCTTGAAGCCTTGCATCAGACTGCAGATATATTTGTATCCAACTGCAGGTATACTTAACATTGCACAAGAATTCTCAATAAGTATAAACTATAATATCCAGTTAAGCAGAGGAATACAAGGCCAGCAGCAGGGAGACAGGTTTAGATTGCATGGTGACATGCAAGGTCAGCACTACACAATACAATCACTTCACAGAGAGATGAGGAGATTGATGTCCAGCAGTATCGGAAAGAGTTTGATACGATGACCTTACACATAGAAACGTTATAAATAAAAAACCTTTTATATACATTTTTTAGTTGATGATCAGTGTTATAAATTTTACAAAGAAAATGTAACTAGTAACCATAGCAATTAACAGCACAGAATTAAAGAGTAAATTGTAAAATTTATGATGGAGGCTGACAGATAAGCCCCAAGCTGTGTTAATTAGTGGATCTGTGACGGTATTGACAAATTAAAACAATAACATCTTAACATATGACAATCCCATGTGATTTAGTCTTTAATGTATGCCATTTATTTCCCGATGATTTAACTTTTTTTGATACATATAAAGAGGTGGGCTTAATGAAGGACATGAACTTTTCAGTTGTTATATACACATACACTACTTTGAAACTTGTATATTTTCACAAAAGATGGCTGCTCAACTGTATCAGTAAAACATCTAGAAGGATAAAAGAATGTGTATTTTATATTTGAAAATTTATTTCTAAACAGGTAGATGAGAAAGCATGTAATTTGTGATCATTATGACAAACTTCAATATGACAGGTCCTGTTCGTTCTACTGTATAACACCACATTACTAATGTGTTTGCCTGATTAGAAACTGTCTGATGTTTGCTCAGCCAATGGCTTATCAGGTTATGCTTAATACTAAGATGTCGTATTGGGTATTTTAAAGTGATTATAATCTGCATGGCTCTTAATTGCTTTTGAAAATGAGTAGATGGACTATAATTCAAAATGTTAAGATTTCTGCTGGTTGTTTAGAGAAATGAAACCTGTTCGACTTGAGTTTTCTGTCGGTCGTTAGAGAGAACACTGTTATTTGTACCTGTGGTGGTGTTGATAGCTTGTTTTCTGTATAACCAGCTGATACCGCGGTGGCTCTCACTTTTTACACAAGATTGCGTAAGTGTTCTACTATGACAGACTTCTTTGTTTCTGCTTCTCCTGGCTAGACCTGAACTACACCGCTTTGATACTATGTATATACCAAGTATACTCCATTACATATATAACAACCTGATATACTTAGCCTGAGTAGATATTTAACTATTTGAATACTCATACGATATACGTAATGAATAATGACAAATATTATACTTTATATGTATGTTTTTGTTCTTTGAATCCTTGAAACCTTTTTCAGAAGTTCAATATATTTCAGTCTTATCTAGTATAGAACTAATCTTTTGTTTTACTGACATGCACCTATACTAGATAATGAAATTTCTTCACGAGGAGAAGGACTTATATAAGAGCACTATACTTGTTTCCTTATCATGTTAAATTTGCTTGCATATATTGTACAATACAATACCATATACACGCAATGAAATTATTTATTTGAATATAAAGACAAGTTTAGCCAACAAAATTTAGAACAGTAAGACTGCATGCAGTCATGTGTTCATTTCCAGCAATCTCTTTCCTAATGAGTGTGTGAATAATGAGTCCTATAAGAGGTGATGTAATTATTAGTTTCACCTGTATGTACCCTTCCCCAAAGCATTATTGTCAATTAACCAACTCTTCGACCTGTTTTAGCTAAGACATGTCATCACATTTAGTCTGAATGAAGACATTTGCCTTTAAAGAACAAGCATATTAAACAAACATAAATTACCTCCCCTTATCTCAGATGAAGGCTAGGATTACCTCCCCTTATATCTGATTGAGGATAAGTTGTCTCCCTTTATAGCTGATGGATGAGTGTAAGGTTGGAATGGCATTTTTTGCACATTTGCATACAAAAGCTGCCTGTTCCTTGATGCTTTAAGATTTTTTTGTAGAGCATTACAAAAGCATTGTAGAAATGTTTACACCATATACTGTTTTAGTAGATATACTTATGAGCATTTGAAATAGCTAGCTGCCTGTTTTATATAATTGTATGTAATGACTATTATATTTCTCCTGTCGGCGTCTCCATTTATGTAATACAATTTAACATCACTCAGTTTTGGGGATACTTTTTGTGATCATTCGTTTAGTGATTTATGATTACATAAGCAAGCAAGAAATATAGATTCAATATTTAATAATGCGTTAAATACTCACAACTTGTTTGAATTTGAGATTGATTGTCCTCGCAGCTCATGCCAGCCAAGTCGTGCGCATTTGCACAGGTCAGCTGGAAATGATTATCATGACCTGCACAGATTGTTTTAAATTTTGCATTTGCACTGCTTATCCCAAAATTGAAAAAGTTTTCAGTTTTAAATATCAAAACACTTTTTTAGAAAAGGTGTAAATGTACTAGTATGTCAAAGGTCAAGTTCAATAGTTTAAATGCCATACAGCTGATTTTGATGAGTTTGAAAAGCTTACATACTAAAATAACATGCAGTAAGCATGCAGGTTTGACCTTCATTTTGACCATTTTTGACCTTCATGTGAAATTATTTATCTTATAAAATACAAATGATTTACATTATTTAAAATTATATTAAATCAATATGAACATGCATATGTATACCTATAGCTAATGGAGATGTCCGACTTTGATGTAGGGATTTAAATTTGGTATTTATTTATTTATAAGGTTTTTTGATTGTTTGAGGTTAAACGTCCTCACAACAGCCAGGGTCATATCAGGACGAGTTTCTTGTCAGAAATTTAACAAAAATGGTAATAGATATCAACACAATCAGTTTTCTTATCAAAGAATTGCATCAATTATTGGCTTGTGAATTAGAATTGAATCATCATCATCTTTGTATCAATAACCATCAGTATTTTAGAGGAGTTCCTGGTTACATTAAAATGCAGTATTCCTTATATATTTAGATTGGTTTGTTGAAATAAGCAGTCAGAAATTATCCAGTTAAATGACATTTAAGTTGCTTAGCTACATGATTGTTAATACACGACCCCTATTTATAGTAATCGTTAATAGACTTGGTATTTATTTGGTAACAGGACTGGTATACTAATTAGGTAATACTACAGTATACATCATACCAGTGATGTGGCATACTAGTTATACAGGTAGCATGCTAATAAGGCTATCTAACTGATGTGGCAAGAAAAACAATAAAACTGAGCAAATCAGAAAGCTGTTGTATAAACTCTGTTCTGTGTTTTAATGAGAATATTTTACCTGTTTTACTCCGTTGTTTTGGTGATCCTTTATGTAGAATACATGAAGACACCTGTTTATATTGATATGTGGTATATATCTCATGATGTCATCTCGTACTGTAGGATTCCCCAGTGATTGACAGAAGGAAGAGCAAATACAGCCGCATGACCAGGCCCCCCACTGTCATAGGTAAGTCTGGGGTTATGGCACCAATGACCTTGAATGTCATAGGTAAGTCCATTACTATGGCAACACTGACCTTGAATGTCATAGGTAAGCCCATTACTATGGTCACACTGACCCCTGAAAATTGTAGGTAGATCTGTTATTATTTCTGACCCCATGAACATGGCTTTAAGTCTGTCATGTGGGCAACAAAAATATACACTGACAAAGGTTACAAGTTAATCTGTTACTATGGTAACAATTACACTGACAAAGGTTACAAGTTAATCTGTTTCTATGGTAACGATTACACTGACAAAGGTAATAGATTAATCTGTTACTATGGTAACAATTACACTGACAAAGGTAATAGATTAATCTGTTACTATGGTAACAATTAACACTTAAAAAGGTTACGGGTTAATCCGTTACTACGACAACTTAAACACTGACTAAGTTTACAGGTTAATCTGTTACAATGGTAATAACTACACTGACAATGGTTACAGGTTAATCTGTTACTATGGTAACAACTACACTGACAACGGTTACAGGTTAATCTGTTACTATGGTAACAACTACACTGATAACGGTTACAGGTTAATCTGTTCCTATGGTAACAACTACACTGACAATGGTTACAGGTTAATATGTTACTATGACAACTTAAACACTGACAAAGGTTACAGGTTAATCTGCTACTATGACAACAATAACACAGACATAGGTTACAGGTTAATGTATTACTATGACAACTTAAACACTGACAAAGGCTACAGACAAATATGTTAATAAGGCAACGGGACCTGATTTTTCAGCCAAAGTAATAATGATCAACTCTTACTGTGGTTACAGTGTTTGTCTACATAGTTTGAGAGATGCCATAGGGTGATACATCAAATAACAACTGATACAATCCTCGTCACTGTCCCCATGGTTACATAGCTCCTTGAAGTTGGACATGTACGAGAACAGAACTTTGAACTAAGATCCTGTGTAGACTTCCAATGCTTTACTAAACAATGGTCTTGGGAACAGTTTAGAGGTTGAGAGGCAAGCTGCATCTGGTCTGGTATTAGACTTAGCTAGAAAGCTAGAATTCACTATCATAGAATTAATTATAAACACGTTACTAACTCTGGTGGTTGTGCATTTTTCCAAATTTTAGGATGGCCTTGGGATCTCAAAAGTCAATTGAAATTTGATCACTTTGTAAAACTAAATATCATATGTTAACAAGATGAAGTTGATTAAACACAAATTGGGGTTGTTGACCATTTGCTGGCCTTTAGAAAGTATTTGGTACAGATTTGTGTCTAAGAAAATAATATCAAGTTTTCATGTAAAATGGACTAATTTTTCAATTTCTTTTTATGTCTAGATATGAAAGAAAAAATTTGAGATCTCAATCTGGCCGAGTGGTAATTTTTAGAATCTACTAAAACTTAAAGTCATCTTTTCTACCCCCTTTACATCATTGGATCATCTATTTCATGTCTTCTTGTCATTTTCATTGCGATAAACAGAATTGGAATTCAAACAACTTATATTGTGTTTTAGTATATGAATAGGTATAGTGATTTTAAGGGGGGGGATGTAAAAATTCTCTTGAAAACACATCCTCATAGAACAACATTACATTGATCAATCTCTTTCAATGAAAAGGTCCCTTAATGTTAGGAATTAACATCCCTTCATGCGCAGTTTAAAACTTATACAAAAGTAAATGTTTCTTCCCACAGATGATGCTTTTTAATTTAAACTACATACTTTTTACACGTGCATGTATGTTATTAATTTACGACTTTTCGTACCAAATTAGGATCTGTTAAATCTAAAGTAAAAAAATCACATTATGATCATATACAAGAAAATTTGGACTAAGCTGTAACCTGAAAGTAAAGATTCTTAAATGACTAATATTGCACCTGTATTCATTCATGACTAAATGATATTATCTGCCCGATGTAAATCTTTTTAGCAGGAAGAAAGTCAGGAAGAGGTAACGTTCCTGTATGTCGTTATAACAGTGTAATCGTCTTTCTGTTAAATTAGAACACTATTTTCTGTTTTACTTGTAATCTATATAAAAATTAATTACCCCAGCAACCAAAAAATAATGAGATAAAATAATTAACAAAATTTGAAATAGCAGAATATTGAGTGTGGGTGGGTTGGGGGATTTGATTTGATTGAAAGCTGCATGAAGTAAAAGATATACGTGTATAATTATGTCAATCAGCAGTAGTTCCTCCAAAAGGTCATCCTGGTCAAAAGTGTACTGTGCATGAATCCTGTAAATTAGTTTATTAACAACCTTGGATCCAACAAATGAGATTTGATCGTTTCGGCTACATATTATTATGACTGACAGTACTAGTGGAACAGACTTTCCCAACTCACCTCTGTCTATAGAGCATATTATTTAGCCTATGTATACAGAAACTTATGTTAACATGCATAATATTTAGCCTATGTATACAGAAACTTATGTTATCATGCATAATATTTAGCCTATGTATACAGAAACTTATGTTATCATGCATCTTATTTATTCAGAAACTAGCTACCATATCATGTTGCTGTATCATTTACTACAGAAGTTACTAGATATATCATATATCCTATCCATACAGAAACCTTAGCAGCAGAATCAGATGTAAAAACTGTACACAAGGTTGAAAAAAGTACCTTAACTCAGTCACCCCTGAAATTTCATACTGAACTATTCCAACCTTTGAATTGGAAGAGTTCAAATGTGTCTTCAGGGGGAATGAGTTAATGTAATATTTAAAATTATTTTCCATAGTTTTGCTTACCTGGTATTAAAGTCATAGGAATGGATTCAGTTATAATTCAGTAATTGCCAAAAATATTGAGAATTATCCTAAAAGACATTCGTACATAACATGTACAATGTACATGCTCTACTTGTCTGAAACAACTTCAATTCTATTGTCAAGCACTTCCCCTGCCCTCTGATTCTACGCTAAGGCTGGTCACTACACTGTGTGGTAACTACACTGACCACTACACTGTGTGGTCACTACACTGTGTGGTAACTACACTGTGTATATGTTAGATCATATATAAGCTATAATTATAGCCATATGTTTATATATATCATTACACAATTACCATCTTTATATACATGTTAGAAAATACAGGTAGTGTTTTGCCTTATCAACTGAAAATAAGTAGTTTCTCCTTCTGTGTATATCTATATACAAGTTAGAACCAGAGTATCAGACAACATTGCTTCCAAGAATGTTGTTAATAGTACAACAATTTAAAAAAAAAACATCATTAAAATTGTTCAATATGAGAACGGGGTAAAACATGTTTATTCATTTAGAGAGATATTTTGCAGACTATATGTATCATATTTTAGTTAAACAAAGATCTATCTCATGGTTTTGTTTGAATTCAAATATACAAGTCCATTTCCAATGCTTCTATTTCACCCTCTATATCTGATCAATGCGTATCATTACTGCACTGCGCTCTGGTGGTCGAAATATTTTCATTGCCGTCTGCGTTCCTATTTTATAGCTAAGAAACATGTGTTAATAAGGCATCACACTGCCTTCTAGTGGTAATCCTTACTATAACTGACAGTGGTATTCAAATTGAACAAAAGTAAATGGTGGAGTTATGATTTATCAGCCATCACATGTTCATGAAAGGCTTTTTAGACTAACTTTCCACTGTAAACAGTTTCTGGCTTACCACTATCTAGGCGAAACCATAATTCACTATATTTATTTTTCTGTAAAACCAAAAACTAAAACAAAACTTCATGAAGAAATCACTATTTCATTTTAAAACTTGAAAATATTTGATGTCATTCATGTCAAATTTCCTTCATTAATAATGATAAAACAAAATGATTTTGATAATATTAAAAGACAAATGTTCATTATTAAAGCAAAATTTAAAATAATGTTTTGTGTAAATGAAGAGTTTTTGGGTTTTCAGAGAAATCCTCTATAACTGCGTGCTTTGTAGTGTTGAGTGCTAACCATGCTTGCTTCCTTACCAGATGCTGAGCAGGTACAAAAAGCTTTACAATTGCACAACAGAAAATTGGAAGCCACTGCTGAACTTTCTCCTCCCAAAGGTGACCCTGTTGACCCTATACAAACAACCCCAAAGGTCACGCCAGTCACAACCCCCCAGACCACACCCACTATGGCTGGTCCCTCCCCTGATTCTACCCCTACTTCACATGAACCTGTTCCCAAGCCTCGGATCAAGAGAAGGTCTGTGCTGGTATCAGTCTCAGAAAAGTCTGAGAGTCAAGGTCAGGGGGTTGCCAAACAACCGAATGAAAGTCAGGGGGTTACCAAGCAACTGGCCAGTCCCACTATTACAGGTAAACAAGGTATTGTGATATTGTGAATTGTGTCTTAAAAGGTTCATCCACTTGTTAAAAAATTGCATCCTGTTATTACTACATGCATTATGGTATTTAAATGGTATATATTTTGGGGTGTGGACAGGTTTTGACAGAAGAGGAATCCCAAAACTATCAGTGTCTTAATTTATTTTAAGAACCAAGAGGTAAGATAATATCTATGAGACTGGAATTATCTTGTATGCTTATCCTAAAGTATATATTGGTTAAACATTGTAGGTTGTGGGTTAATTATTCAGACATTTTACCATTTTGTCTTATCACTACTTCCATTGTACATGCTACATTGATTTGTTTTGTAAATCTTTGAATTCCATGTATGTTATTAGGTTTGTACATCGAACACAACAATACTCCAGCATTACTATTAAATGGCTGGTTGCTGAAAAAACATAACAATGATGAATTGGGACAAACATGTGAGGATTATGTAGTCATGAGGAGAGGTTAATATGTATGTGAACTTGTTTTGTTCAGTGGGATCAACAGAGGACCTGACCAACAGTGTGCTCAGCAGGTCCGACACCATTCCTGAGGAGCCATCCAGCTCACTGACATCTTCTGTTACATCAGGTAGCTACAGCTCCACCTGGTGTCAGGAAGTAGAACTACTCAGTGTACATCGTAGGTTACGGACACACAGTAAAGAAGTATTGACCTCAAATACAGTCTCATAAATGTAGCCACCAGTAATACAGTTGTCCCACTGTTTAGACTGTACTTTTGTAGACAGACTTCTATTGAAAATAATTTCCTTCAATCCAGTCACTTTTGGCTAGAATGAAGATGATTGGATTAACAAAACCTGCCTGTTATCGAAGAGGCCTGCGATTAGTTTAAAAACATTACTCAGACATGATGGTACATAATGTATATAAATACTCGGACATTTCAGAGGTTGCTTCATACTGAATAATTAAAATAAACCATGTTCATACTTCAAAACCATGTTTTGCAATGAATTATGTATCATTATATTTGTATTGACAAATATAAGTAGACAACATGCATACTTGTCAATCTAGTATGCATAGTTTACAGGGAGTTACCTCCCTTTTACTGTGCATGATTTTACCCATTTACCCAATACTAATTGTTAGAATTTGACAATGAACGCTTTCACTTTATATGTGGGACTGTTGTGTAGGCGGCAAATTTTACAACACCACTGATGTTATTAATGTCACATGATTTGGGGATTTCCCACCAATATTGCAGTCCCAAAGTTTAAGTAAAAAGATCCATATTCTCTGTCGCAATCTCCATGAAAATTGCTTTCATATTTGTTTTCTTTAAAATTTCCAAGCATATCTAAAACTTTGATCCTTAAAATTATGTCGCAATGTTGAAAATACAGAATACATTTGATTGATTTGACAGAAACCATTGACTTGGGAAACCTTGGAGAGTCTGGACCAAAGCTGTTCAATCCCAACAAGGGCCGTGCAAAGAGACAAAAGAACCACCAGTCACGGCGACCAGGTGTCGCACCAAACGTAGCAACCAATGAACCTCTCCAAGCAGACGAAGGTCTTGACACATTCTTCAACAGACAGACAGTCAAGGAACACACAGTGATGGCTCCAGTGGTAGAGGTCACTCGCAGCCAGTCAAGGTCAGTTGTGTTCCATCACATTTATTACAAGGTTACTGGTTCATTATTTTAGGTTATTGATTTAGTTTCAATAGGAATATATTGGAATCTGGCAGGTTTTTTAAAACACAAATTTGTTTTCTTTGTTATTTCTTCATTTCTCTAAACTTTTCTTCAATAAAATATTTATTTGAATACCTATACTTATTGGATTATGCATGCCAGAAAAGTACACACATATATATGCATCTGTCCACTCTCACATGACAAACCAAGCCTGGTATATCACACATACAAATACATGTACACACAGATATATCACACATACACAAACAATATATTGCAATCTTTTTCATAAAACACTTGTGATCAGCTTCAGATAATGCTGTCAAAATATCATTATTATGCCTTATGTTTACAGTAAGTCAGTTTCAGCAGTCAAAGTGAAAAAGGAAAAGAGTCAGAAGGAAAAAGAAAAAGAACCAAAAAAATCAGGGTAAGTTTGTACCAAAAACAAATGATCAAGTTTTTTCCCATATGATTATACAGTACAGGTACCTAGGAATTTGTGTTTACTTATGTATTACTCATTCACCCCTTACATTTCATAATTAACTATCGCAACCTTTGAACAGGAAGAGTTCAAATGTAGGGTTGAATGAGTTAAATTGTATAATTCAATGATTAAATTTAAGTAGGTATCAAATAAAGTGCTCGTTCATAAGATTCACATTATATGCGACCATACAGCTTGTGACATGATGATTATATATAGTTGGATTAGAGAAGAGAGGTTTGATTGGAAAAGGCAGAGATAACCATTTCTAACACACTTCATATGCAGCCTAAACCAGTAACACTACTGCGTTTTAATTTTCCAAAAATAAAATTAAACTTCTATGATAGCAACCTTATATGGATGTGCTTGAATCAAGGATCAGTACTGGAGGGTTATCTATTCCCCTTGTAAATTCCTTTCCATTTGTAACATTTAAATGTTTGATAGACTTTCAGCGCCAAATGTGAAATACAACAAAACAATATTCAAAATCATGTAATTACTGCTATTGCGTATAAAGTTTGACCTCTGAAAGACTTGAAGAGACGGGTACTAATTTCATTGTATACATTGTCTTTTAACAGATTTGCAGGTCTGTTTGGCAGAAAAAAGAAAACTTCTACTGATGAGTCGGCCAAGTCAGACAAGTCACCAGACCGCAGCAAGACAAAGGGATCCTCACCCGACCGATCTAGTGCATCGAGTAAGGTCGGAGGACTGTTCGAGAGGAATTCCAAAGTGAGGCTCTCTCCTTTCAAGAATAAAAAGGATAAAAAGGCAGACAAATCACCTGACAGGAACGACAAGGCCGTGAAAGAGGAGGAGAGTAAGGTGGAGAAACCAGCAGGTAAGATCTGTGTCTAATTGTAGGCAAATGTTCTAGGATGAGTTAATTATTTAATTTAACCATTATTTTTTGAGTTTTTGGAAAGTAATTGTTTGAAATGCAACCTACTTCTAACCTTTTGAATTTTCTATGGGGAGGTTCTGTATGCTTAAGATTTAAAACAAATAAAATGTATGTCTACTCTATGGAAAAAATAGCTCTTTAAATTGGCATATTTTGAGTTGTTCTTCTGGTGAAATCATTAGATCTTAGAAAGTAAGGATATTTTAACAATTTTACTGATTGAAAATGTTCAAATTTAGGCTGTTTATTAAACAATATCAAGATCATTGGTCAAGGTCAAAGGTCGAGTGTCTGCATCTCAGTATTCCGTGGGGCTCTACTGTTATTTTGAGTACCTTCATAAATGTGTCACTCTTGGGATGTCTATTTCTCTAGCACAGGGTCATTTCTACATTATTTTGAATGCTGACCTTAAACGAATTATGGATATTAAATGAATGTTACCTTTTTTCTGACAAAGGGATTGATACCCAACTAGCAATGAAATGTAGTGCTCGGCAAAAGTTTGTGGTTACTCAAGTCATTCAACACAGATCAAAACAAAAATTAGTTCACTTTAAAATCTAGAAAATTGTGTCGCTACCAGAGCAGATATGCAATATTTCAATCGACAATTGTTTCATTTATATAAACAAACTTTTCAGTGAGCTAAAAAGCCTTCTTATTGCTTTGTACTGTTAAATAGGCAAATAGTACCAGACTTGATCACATAAAGTACCTTCAAAGCCAGCATTAGATATCCTCTCATATTATTAATTCTGTGATCGGCCATTTGGGATGAATTGTCATTTGATTGCTCAACTCTTAGGACTCTGTACTAAATAACCTGTAACTGACTAACATTCACATATATGGTCTATTGTAGAGACAGAACAAAAGCCAGCTGAGACAGTGAAGGAAGTGTCCAGGGAACCTACACCTGAGCCACAGGTCGTACGTGAGCCTTCTCCTGAACCTCAGGTTGAACCGAAGGTCGAACCTGAACCTGAGGAACCCAAGCAGCCTAAACAAGCCCTGAAACCCAAGTTTGGATTGGGAGGAGGCAAACCTATGGGCTTCGGGGGGGATATGTTGCAGCAAATGCGACAGAATAAAAGATTCTCCTCAGTAAGTGATAAACCTGTCAGAGGATAGCACTAGGTTTTACTAAAAATAAAATCCTGGATAATCCCTGTATACTGAAAGAAAAGTGATTCTTCCAACACCTGTAAGTTGCTGCCCGTTGTAGGTCAAATAATTTCTTTCTCTTACCTACCTTTGTGAAAGTCAAGTCTTGATTGATGGAAGACAGTTTTAACTGTAATCTGGAATACTATCATTGTGATAAAAAAAATGGTCTTACAAAAGTATAGGAAATCCATAATTTCCTAACTAAAATCTGATATTTTAAGCAATACATCTGTGATTAAGGAGTATTTTCTATCATCTTTGATGCTGGTGCCATCAGGTTTACTGCTTTCTCCATAATTTTGATTTCCAGAAATTAGACATTTAAGCATTTTACTTTCATATTTCAGAATAATTTGTTAGATGGCGAGGACTCTCCGACAGCTACCTCTCCAGTAGGAGGACCTACGGCAAGTTTGCCTTCACCTCAGACCAATGGTTCCCCTAAGGTTTCTATGATTGCATCCAAACCCAGACCTGCTCCGCGGAATCGGCGATCCGAGGCGGAGGAGACAATAGGGACCGCTGGGTCGGGCGATAGGAAATCACTTGGTCAGTACATTTATCAGTCAAAGTAATTTGAAACAGTTTTATTTCAGCTGCCTTACTTAGTTGTGTATTCCTACACATTGTAAATATTGAAGTTGTTTAATGGTTTCCTATCTGAGGTCGTATACAATACAATCTTCCCATCTGATCTAGTGGTAAACACTCGATTTTGTTTACTTAGAGCTGTTTGTGAACTGGTGATATTTTGTTTTTATGGTTTTCTGAAATTTTCTTCCTGAAATATATATTTGTTTTCTAGGTTTTTTTTTGATAAAGCTGTTCATTAATCACCATTGTCAACACAATGTGGTGCCTGCGGGGAACAGAGAGATCGTTTTCCTGATGCAAACAGTCATCTACAGTTCTAAATTAGTATTAAAGAAATACATTTCAATTAATACATCTAAACTTGATTTATCTATTGCTTCATATAACTTGGTTGTTCAGTAACACTTATCACTGTATCTTCTGTGTATTTCCAGACGGAAAGAAGCCTCCCCCGCCTCTACTAAAGCCACGCCCACCTAAACCACCGAACAAACCAGGGAGCTCACCTCGCTCAAGTTCAAATCAAAGCTCTGTCAGTGATGGTAAGATCAAATAAATTGAAAAATTAAAAGCTCCGTCAGTGATGGTAAGATCAAATAAATTAAAAAATCAAAAGCTCCATTAGTGATGGTAAGATCAAATAAATCAATAAATTAAAAGATCCGTCAGTGATGGTAAGATCAAATAAATTAAAAAATCAAAAGCTCCATTAGTGATGGTAAGATCAAATAAATCAATAAATTAAAAGATCCGTCAGTGATGGTAAAATCAAATAAATTAAAAGCTCTGTCAGTGATGGTAAGATCAAATAAATTAATAAATTAAAAGCTCCGTCAGTGATGGTAAGATCAAATAAATCAATAAATAAAAAGCTCCGTCAGTGATGGTAAGATCAAATAAATCAATAAATTAAAAGATCCGTCAGTGATGGTAAGATCAAACAAATTAAAAAATTAAAATCTCCGTCAGTGATGGTAAGATCAAATAAATCAATAAATAAAAAGCTCCGTCAGTGATGGTAAGATCAAATAAATTAAAAAATTAAAAGATCCGTCAGTGATGGTAAGATCAAATAAAGCAATAAATAAAAAGCTCCGTCAGTGATGGTAAGATCAAATAAAGCAATAAATAAAAAGCTCCGTCAGTGATGGTAAGATCAAATAAATTAATAAATTAAAAGCTCCGTCAGTGATGGTAAGATCAAATAAATTAATAAATAAAAAGCTCCGTCAGTGATGGTAAGATCAAATAAATCAATAAATGAAAAGATCCGTCAGTGATGGTAAGATCAAATAAATTAAAAAATTAAAAGCTCCGTCAGTGATGGTAAGATCAAATAAATTAATAAATTAAAAGCTCCGTCAGTGATGGTAAGATCAAATAAATTAAAAAATTAAAATCTCCGTCAGTGATGGCAAGATCAAACAAATTAAAAAAAACAAAAGCTCTGTCAGTGATGGCAAGATCAAACAAATTAAAAATTAAAAGCTCTGTCAGTGATGGCAAGATCAAATAAATTAAAAAATTAAAAGCTCCGTCAGTGATGGTAAAATCAAATAAATTAAAAAGTTAAAATCTCCGTCAGTGATGGCAAGATCAAACAAATTAAAAAAAACAAAAGCTCTATCAGTGATGGCAAGATCAAACAAATTAAAAAATTAAAAGCTCTGTCAGTGATGGCAAGATCAAACAAATTAAAAAATTAAAATCTCTGTCAGTGATGGTAAGATCAAATAAAATTAAAAAAATTAAAAGCTCCGTCAGTGATGGTAAGATCAAATAAATTAAAAAATTAAAAGCTCTGTCAGTGATGGTAAGATCAAATAATCATTAAATAAAAAGATCCGTCAGTGATGGTAAGATCAAATAAATTAAAAAATTAAAAGCTCCGTCAGTGATGGTAAGATCCAATAAATTAAAAAATGAAAAGCTCTGTCAGTGATGGTAAGATCAAATAAATTAATAAATTAAAAGCTCCGTCAGTGATGGTAAGATCCAATAAATTAAAAAATGAAAAGCTCTGTCAGTGATGGTAAGATCAAATAAGATAAAAAATAAAAAGCTCTGTCAGTGATGGTAAGATCAAATAAATTAAAAAATTAAAAGCTCCGTCAGTGATGGTAAGATCAAATAAATTAATAAATTAAAAGCTCCGTCAGTGATGGTATATCAAATAAATTAATAAATTAAAAGATCCGTCAGTGATGGTAAAATCAAATAAATTAAAAGCTCTGTCAGTGATGGTAAGATCAAATAAATTAATAAATTAAAAGCTCCGTCAGTGATGGTAAGATCAAATAAATTAACAAATAAAAAGCTCTGTCAGTGATTGTAAGATCAAATAAATTAAAAAGTTAAAATCTCCGTCAGTGATGGTAAGATCAAATAAATCATTAAATTAAAATCTCCGTCAATGATGTTAAGATCAAATAAATCATTAAATTAAAAGCTCTGTCAGGGATGGTAAGATCAAATAAATCATTAAATTAAAATCTCCGTCAGTGATGGTAAGATCAAATAAATTAAAAAATTAAAAGCTCCGTCAGTGATGGTAAGATCAAATAAATTAAAAAATTAAAATCTCCGTCAGTGATGGTAAGATCAAACAAATTAAAAAATTAAAATCTCTGTCAGTGATGGTAAGATCAAATAAATTAATAAATTAAATGCTCTGTCAGTGATACAACAATCTATATAAATATTCCTCTTTGATTGATGATTTATTACAATTTTCATGTCAAGTCTCATATAGGGAGTTGAAATTGTGACATCTTGTTTTGACAGAGCCTTTGTTTGAGTGTAACATCTTGGATCCATTCATGGTCATTAACTACCATTTGAGTAAGGTAGAAACTGAATTTGAAATAATTTCATTGAGTTGAATTGAAACTCAACTTTATTTAAACTCAAAAAAAGTAAAACATCCTGAAGAAAATTTAAAATAATAATAATACGTAATATGCTTAAATATCTTTTGACTTTTATACACAACCACACCTCATATTCAAGGTCAAATCAATGTAGCACCTGTCTGCAGCATAACTTCTAAATAGTTGAACACTTTATGAATGTGTATATACAAATGTATATCAATATTAAACATTATGTTATTACTTCTATACAACTAATGTATTTAAATGCCCAGATAATGGTCACTCATAGGGATCAAAGCTCATATATGTACCTTTTAGCTTGGCTGGACAAACGTTTTAAGCAATAAAAGAGAATTCCATGACACTTGATCAACATAAGAGTGTGTCTCATACCACTTCCACATTCCTATAAAGGATCAGTATACCCTATGTCAAAAGTCAGGGTCAGGGTAACAGGTCAGGGTCAGGGTAACAGGTCAGGGTCAGGGTAACAGGTCAGGGTCAGGGTAACAGGTCAGGGTCAGGGTAACAGGTCAGGGTCAGGGTAACAGGTCAGGGTCAGGGTAACAGGTCAGGGTCAGGGTAACAGGTCAGGGTCAGGGTAACAGGTCAGGGTCAGGGTAACAGGTCAGGGTCAGGGTAACAGGTCAGGGTCAGGGTAACAGGTCAGGGTCAGGGTAACAGGTCAGGGTCAGGGTAACAGGTCAGGGTAAGAGGTCAGGGTCAGGGTAACAGGTTAAAATTGTGAAGTGCTTCTTTTCACATTTATGTCCTTTAGGTTTCACTTGGATGATTTGCAGATGTACAATTTACCAATTTTGCTAATATTTTACAAGTTAGAAATTCAAGGATAGATGTATTATGTTTATCTACACATTGCTAATATATCTTAATGGCCATTATTGTCTTCATGGCCATTATTGTCCTCATGGCCATTATTGTCTTCAAACCTGTCACAGTGTATTCCGTCTTTGCGTATTGCAGTTATCTTCTCTTGTGATCATGAGCGGGTATTGATTGTTACGTCCTTGGTTTGTGTGAGAAAATTACCTTGTTTACTCAAAAATTGATGACGTTACTCTGACCAACCAATGACATAACAATCAATACCTGCTCACAAGAGAAGATAAATTCTGCAATAAAAAAAGACGAAATAAGAATATAAACTGTTTGAGCAGATTCCTTGGATGGAGAGAACAAATCTACGGACGGTAAGAAGGTGGAGGAAGGTGTAGTAGTGGACTCCAAGACGCTGCGGATGTCCATGGAGGACAAGATAAAAAAGATGGGGTTGGACACGGGTGTTCCGACACAGGAGATAAAGAGAAAGAGCAGCTCCCTACCCCGGGATCAGTCCCTACCTAATATGAGTAAAGGTTAGTGCTAGGTACCAGGAGAAACAACTAGCCCTGTTTTACTGTATCACAGTATAATGTATTTTACCTTGTTATACAGCATATATACACCCTGTATTACTGTATCACAGTTATGTTATACAGCATATATACATAAAACAATGCATCATAAAGATTTCTTTACTGTCATCATTTACAGATGGAATTTCAGCATTATATAGGGTTAGAAATATATCAAGTATGATGTATTGAGAAAGAAAAACCAAAGAGAATACATTGAAATATGTTAATGACAATTAGTTATAAGGTGACAAGATCATGATGTAAAGTTTTCTCCGGGTACTCTGGCTTCCTGCCACATAAAGACCTCCCACACGCATGATGACTTATTACTGAGTATGCCTACAAAAGACTTATTACTGAGTATGCCTACAAAAGTCTTATTACTGAGTATGCCTACAAAAGACTTATTACTGAGTATGCCTACAAAGGCTAATTACTGAGTATGCCTACAAAAGACTTATTACTGAGTATGCCTACAAAAGACTTATTACTGAGTATGCCTACAAAAGACTTATTACTGAGTATGCCTACAAAAGACTTATTGAGCATACTGGTACAGAGCTTTGTAAAGTATTGAATACAACAGTATAAAACTTGATTAATTATGACAAGGTTTAACTAAAATTATAATGATTTGTTTTTTACAGAAAAAGAAAAATCTTTAGAGTGGAAACATCGGTCGGTTCATGATCCCATGAACGTATCAACAACCTCAGAAGAGTTATCTCCCATTTCTGTGTCCTCTGAGAAAAACTCAGATTCCTCTGAAAAGCTATCTGTGAATGGTGATAAAGATAAAGACAATAAAAAAGACATTGAGCAGGAAGATGATAACGGTAACAAGGGGGAGTCGTCTCCCCCTGATACAGACGCCAACAAAGAAAGTGCTGATGATGTGATCATGGTATGATGTGACTGTATTTTTATGAAGGATATTTTATAACGCCTATCTACCTTTTTTTTCCCATTAAGCCAGAACTGTTTTCTGCTTTCACTAATTAGGACCAAAATATGGAAATACAAAGTGGATTGAAATTCATCATTTAATTCTTTTTTAAGTATCATGACTTACATATTGCTAGAAATGCAGGAGCTTAATTAATAGATTTTCATCTTTGATGGGTGATAAGCTCATAACTGTTTAAGTTCAAAGTTTAAAAACACCTGGCGGGTCAGAGGTGTGAACATTGATTGAACTTACATGCAAATGTGAAGATTACTGTTAATGTTTTGCATTATACTGCTGGATTCACGTCTTCCAGGCATAACACATGGCCTCCAAAATGGTAGATAAATGTCACACAGCCCTCAAAATGGTAGATAAATGTCACAGCCTTCAAAATGGTAGATAAATGTCACACAGCCCCCAAAATGGTAGACAAATATCACACAGCCCCCAAAATGGTAGATAAATGTCACACAGCCCCCAAAATGGTAGATAAATGTCACACAGCCCCCAATATGGTAGATAAATGTCTCATAACCCTCAAAATGGTAGATAAATGTCACACAGCCCCCAAAATGGTAGATAAATGTCACACAGCCCCCAAAATGGTAGATAAATGTCACACAGCCCAAAAAAAACTTTATACCACATAGCTCCCCACCCAAAGAAAAAACAATGTCACATGACCCCCTAAAACCAAAAATTGTAGATATCATTTACATCAGCATTATGTGATGTACATAGGGCACTGAATTACTTTCTATTACAAATTACTGGTATATTTTTGAAATTGAAAAGAAGCTGGTCGATACAATAATTTTATTTACTGTGGTATCTCTTTTTATTATTGTGACAAAACTGACAAGAAGCCACCGTAGCCAAGTGTTTAAGTTGTCTAACCATCCACGATTACTAGCCCTCCACCACTGGGTCGTGGGCTTGTGTCATGCATATAGCAGTCGTAAGGTCTGACTGCAGGTCAGTGGGTTATCTCCGGGTACTCCAGCTTTCCTCCACCACCAAAATCTGACATATCCTTAAATGACCATAGCTGTTAATAGGACATAAAACACAAACAAACAAAACTGGCATCTGATGTAAGAATTACAATTAGCATAATTGTTCTGTTACGGTTACCATGTGATATTTATCAGTGATAGTTTAGTTCTAGAAACCATCTATAGCTGTTTGAATGTGTCAGTTTGTATATATAAATGCTAAGAATTATAAAGTAGCTTATATTTAATTAAATAAAATTAAGTAAATAAAGGAAACAAATAAAACCTTGATATTAATTGAGTGCCTTCCCTAATATGTAAAAGTAACGGATGAAAATTAGATTAGACCTCTTGTTATGAAAAATTAAGTGTCAAATTATTGAAACACTTTGTGTTGAATTAGAAAAAAAACACAGTTTTATGTTAATATGTAAAGACAGTAACATATGGGTAGTGCCAGACGTTTGTGTTTCAAGCAATTTTAGGAATTTGCTGCTTGGAGACATAGTGAAATGTAAGTTAAGACCAAATGTATAAATAAATAGCTTTCAAAATTGCTAAACTTGGAAAAACCTTTCTGCAGTCAGTTACGTTTATAAACATTGGATACGTGACACAGATAAATACATCAGAACCTAAGTACTCTGTAATCAAACTACATGTATGAGCAACATATTACACCAATCCAGCTGTCCACCTGTTAAAAAAATAAGGGTTTTCACTGATGTTTCTAGAGAACGACATGTGATGTAAATTAGGTAATGAAATATTTCAATGATAATACACAAGTATCATTTGACCCCATTTTGGAAAGTTGCCTTATCTCAGCGCTGAAGAAAGTACACACAGATGTGTTTATGTAGTAAAACATGCATAGGTAATAAGATAATAGAAGTCGCTTTATGACTGTCTAATATCTCTGATTAAGATAACTTTTTACCTGTAATTTTGGTTACCTGTTAAGTCGTTAACTCTCAAGTCAACAGGATGTTAAAGTCAGAATATATTCTGATATATTCAGACAAATTGACAACAAACCAAGTTTTTTGGATTAAAGAAACAATTTGTAATGAAACAATTTTTCTTTACCACAGAAACTGATGAAGCCAAAGATTGGGTATGGGATGGGATAGCTGTCTGGGTCACGCTAGGAATTATAGCATTTTATGTCTTTATTTCATTTCACATGTCTTTGTTGAAATTTGAAATATGAAATTAATTAATAATCAAAAATAGTGCTTACTCATTGATTGCATGCTTTAATGCTTTATTAGTGACATCTGATGTGTTCATCATCTGTTGTCTGCAAAATATTTTCTGAATGGAAAATAATTAAACTGTATAGTAGAGACTAAACAGAGATCAGGCCATGTTTTACACTGAAACAATCCTAAATTTGTATACTATTGTACTTAATTAGGCTAAACTGAAAAACCAAGTTGATAATTTTTCAGCAGACAAGGATATATAAGGAATTGTTATGTAGATACATATAATGTTTGGTTTCTACCTTTAGTAGAATCTACTATATACATACTGTACATACATTGAAGCTCCTGTACATAAGAAACTCATCACCTATACAGCCTTTTATATACAATGTATGTATATATAAATATCACTATATCCTACTCACCATGGGCCAAGCATAACAGCTGTACCGATAATTGTTACCATTACTTGTACCTATTAGCCATTCATAAAAAAAAATCTTTAATTCAAATTAATTGGGTTTATTTGTCTCTATAGGGAACCCTGTGTAATAGATTTGTTTTGTTTCTGTGTGTGGATTGTAGATTTAGTAAGACTGTTATTGGCATAAAACTTGTAGGTATGGAAATATCACCATACATCCATGCATAATCCATTAGAAAAGGATAATCTGCTAAACTTAATTACGAAACTTGTAATATTTCTTTTTTTAAACGTGCTCATAAATTCAGTTATGTTGTTATGTCTGCATTCAGTGTTCGAGAATTTACATTGAAATGTGTCGTTGATACAGTAATATCACTGTTAACAATGCCCTACCCTATAAATAACCTGTAGTAGGTACTGAACAGTTGGGTGTAGGGTTAACAATGCCCTACCCTATAAACAACCTTTAGTAGGTCCTGGACAGTTGGGTAGGGTTAACAATGCCCTACCATATAAACACCCTTTAGTAGGTACTGGACAGTTGGGTAGGGAACTGGGCTTGGTAGAGGGTATAGTAGGTACTGGACAGTTGGGTGTAGGGTTAGCAATGCCCTACCCTATACACAACCTGTAGTAGGTCCTGGACAGTTGGGTAGGGAACTGGGCTTGGTAGAGGGTATAGTAGGTCCTGGACAGTTGGGTAGGGAACTGGGCTTGGTAGAGGATATAGTAGGTACTGGACAGTTGGGTGTAGGGTTAACAATGCCTTCCCTATAAATAACCTGTAGTAGGTCCTGGACAGTGGGTAGGGAACTGGGCTTGGTAGAGGGTATAGTAGGTACTGGACAGTTGGATGTAGGGTTAACAATGCCTTCCCTATAAGTAACCTGTAGTAGGTACTAGACAGTTGGGTAGGTAACTGGGGTTGGTAGAGGGAATAGTAGGTACTGGACAGTTGGGGGTAGGGTTAACAATGCCTTCCCTATAGATAACCTGTAGTAGGTACTAGACAGTTGGGGAGGGAACTGGGTTTGGTAGAGGGTATAGTAGGTACTGGACAGTTGGGTGTAGGGTTAACAATGCCTTCCCTATAAATAACCTGTAGTAGGTACTAGACAGTTGGGTAGGGAACTGGGTTTGGTAGAGGGTATAGTAGGTACTGGACAGTTGGGTAGGATTAACAATGCCCTCCCTATAAATAACTTGTAGTAGGTACTGGACAGTTGGGTAGGGTTAACAATGCCTTCCCTATAAATAACCTGTACTAGGTCCTGGACAGTTGGGGTAGGGAACTGGGTTCGGTAGAGGGTATAGTAGGTACTGGACAGTTGGGTAGGGTTAACAATGCCTTCCCTATAAATAACCTGTAGTAGGTACTAGACAGTTGGGTAGGGAACTGGGTTTGGTAGAGGGTATAGTAGGTACTGGACAGTTGGGTAGGGAACTGGGTTTGGTAGAGAGTATATTACGTTTATGGTGTAGATGTTTAGGGGAAGATCTTTGTACGAAAATACTTGAGTAATGTATTTATCACATTTTTGAACACATCCTTATTTGTAGAGGGACATTTGGATGTTACTGTCTGGAGAAATTCTTTACTATATTGTTATACATTTATTTAAATTTAGTCAATATAAATACATGTATTTTGTTATTTAATAATATGTGTGATGCATATTTTATATATAATTATAACCGGCTTTGTGACCCTTTTCAATATTTTAAAAGTAGAGGCTATTAAAAGTCTAGTGTAGGAAGCCTATTATAGGTATCATCAGATGAAGATTGCTGATGGTTGTTAAACAATAGTAGCATTAAGAAATCTTCATAATAAATTTGTTTTGTATACACCGTATATAGACATACAAATATAGTTGTAGTCACAAATAATAATTTAATCAACCAAATGTGGATTAGTGGCAAGTTTAGTTAGCATGTTTTTGGGCAAACAATTCAAAAATAAAACTTAGGTGAAGATTTTAATCATTAGACATTTTAGGAAAGAATAATAAACTACTTTTGCATGGAATTAAGGATATCTGTTACTTTATGTCATCTGTGGTTTTATACTAGAGTTATCTCCCCTACAACATCTCAAATAAGCAGTATCTGAGAGTTTACTTTTTCTTGAGCATAATTATCAAGATATTTCTATTGTGTATTCTTCAAATGTGCCAGCAAGTGATTTAAATGTACCAAGGACAAACTATCACTCAAAAAACCCATTATTTATACAGGTTTAGTGTGAAGATCTTTTTGGAAGGGGGTAGTATACGTATATGACAGTAAGGTAACATTTACCCTAATTAATTAATCTATAGTCATAGACTAGAGCAGTAATTAATCTATAGTCATAGACTAGAGCAGTAATTAATCTATAGTCATAGACTAGAGCAAATCGTTAACATTCCTTCTGAGACTATTGTCCAAATATTTGTTAACTGGATTGATCCAATGTGATTTTTGATGTTTCGATGAAATTCAACTTTTCCTTTTCTATATATGATTACGTTTTGTGAGTTTAGTGCTAAAATTCCAGTTTTGTTGATTGGTATATCACACAGCTGTTTGTATACTTCTAATGATGTGTGAGAAGAGCTGAGAATATTCTTATTAATTTTGCTAATCTAATCAGATTTTAATAAAGGATGTACATTTTGATTATAACCATGTCAATAAGAAATGTGGATAAGAAGAAGTGATACAACATATATTGGAAGGTTGACCGAGACCTTTATTAGGCTATGCTGTTTGAACAAACAAAAATTCTGTGCAAGTCAACAAATTGGTTCAGGGAAAAAAGAAAAAAAAAGTCCACATTATTCGTTTGAGTGGCATAACCAGAAGAAATTCCTTATAAATTTAATTTGAAATACAGACACTTTTTGTATGCAAATTTAATTGTTATCAATACATTTTTAAATTTTTACTAAAAATGAAAAAGTGTACATTAACTCATTATGCCTTCATAATCAAAAAATCAAAAACGAGCATTAAAAAGGAATGTTAAGGTTATTACGTGCAATCTTAAAACAGAGCAATGCTTGTTGGAAGCGATATTGGGTTATATGTAAGGACCAAAGAGCTACTGACACAGGTGATCACTGCTACAGTAGGTCTCTAACTCTAGGTACAAAAATATACATTTTTAACATTATGAGAGAGATAAAAAATTGAATGCAAAAGGGTAATTCTGTTTTTGTCTGTTATATCATCTGAGGACAGTGAACTAAACACTTGGGCGTTTTAGTAAATTGTAATTATTTGATAGATGATTAGGCCTTCTGTCTGATTATAGAACGTTATTGTGTTTACTGTCATGCTTTGTGACTTCATGTGCTTGTCAAACACAGTGAACACATATGGTCACTTTTCAGGTTTGTCATACAGAATGTGACAATCCCTTAGAACACAGGATTGAAGTCACTATTCAGTGTAATTACTTTAAGGATTAAAAGTGCCAAATACACAGTTAGCAAAGAATTGTGTTCAAAAGCTGCAGTGCAGTTTTAATTTTTTTCTCTGCATGTATTTTTAAATTACTGCTTTACATGGTCACTACTTGACTAATTTGTCATTGTTCATGCAATATAGATTATACACAGCTTGTAAACAGAGTCATTTTGTTTAATGCTGTTTATTTATGACTGTATTATAAATATGTATATGTATATAAATACTTCTATGTATACCGGTATTTAGTATTTACTAAACGCTATATAATGATGTCATTAATTTACTTGCTTTTTTTAAGAATATTTTGTTTACACTAATTTGTGTATGGTTCCCTGTAGAACATCATACTTTGATTTGTGTATATAGCTGAATCTGATCTGTGCTAATACTCTTGTGTGAGAGAGATTTTTATGTGGGTGTGGTACTGATAATATTGGTCTTGGGATAGTTTTGGAATTTAGAAATATTAAAGTTGTGTCCCTTTTTGTATGCATTCCTACACCAAGGTAAGATTCCATAAACAATCAAGTGTTTTATGGTTTAAGGATACATGCTACCTTACAATTTGGACTTTTGATTTCATAAGAGTTATCTCTCTTAGTAATAGTTCGGGTTAAACATGATGTAAGCAGTGTTGTAGCAGAGCCTGCATTCTTGCAGACCTTTCTAATATGTCATCGATTCATATACCATATTCAAATTATCATTCATAAAATAATATTTTTCTGTTACTGGTATGGTTTTTTACGGAGATGCATGTGACAGTAAGGTAGCATATATGGTAAACTGTCCTGAATGATGTTGTGGTTAGTGGAACAAGAGCTTTTAACAGATGTAAACAAAACAAAGTTAGTGGTTAACAAGTAACTTATGGTGACTAAAAAAATTGGAGAACTCAAGTTCTTTATGCATTGTAGAATTAGTTCAAAATTTCATTTAAAAATAGTTTGATGTTATATGTGTTCGGTAGACTTCAAACCTCTGTCTCTAATGTTGTTTTCATGGTCTGAGGAACATGAAGTAGTAAAATAAGTATTACCTATAAATGGCATCGTATTGATGAAGTGCCTTGTTATCTCCCCTGTTTTACCTCTCCTTTTCTGTGATTCATTTGCCTGAAATGTAACCACAGATTCTGTTTATGAAATAATTCTGTGAATTCTGATTTTGTTATTGTGGATTGTTTTAATTAGCTTGTTTGGCTTTTGAGACCCTTGTGAGATCTTACATTTGATATTTAATACTAAGAGCTTTGAAAAATTACTTTTGTAAGGACCTCAACTATTGAAAACGCCCAGCTTCAGTTGAAACAGATAAATGATATTGTTATGACAATATTTGATTAAGTTGTCACTGACAACAAAATTGAACCAATTTGTCACAGGTAAAATAATGGATATCTGCTACTTAAGAATTCTAGAGTGTCACATACTGGGAGCATTAAGTAAGTACAAAATGTAACGATAAGCACATTGGAGAATTTATTTAGCTGGTTGAATTGCTTCATTGTATGGAGTGGAAATCAAAAGAGATAATTTTGATAGATTAAAAGTCTTTTAAAGATTTACTTTTTTAGAAATACAACATTGCAATGGAATTGGATTACTGCTGTTTGTAAGAAAACACCATTGTAACAATATTTTCTGATATCCAGTTATTTGACAATTTCAAACACAAACATTTTGTCTTCCAAAACATTTTGTGCCATTTTGTGCTTGGCTAATTCCATATTTATCATCAGAGTTTTGATTTTATTAAAATAGTTTGTTAGTTTTTGGGTGACAGGTTACTGTGAACAGTTAAACCAGAACAGTCACCATTGACTTTCAGACACACATAGTCTTTATCATGATGGGAACAGCAGATTTTCTATATCACTTATTGATCATTTCCATCACTATGATATCTGTTAAACAATAAGTTGATAATTTCCTATGCTACAACCTCTGGTAAACAGGAAGTTGATTATTTCTAACGCTGTGACATCTGGCAGACAGAAAGTTTATCATTTCTTATATCAAGACCTCTGATATACAGGAACATGATCATTTTCAACACCACTAACCCAGATTAACTTTGAAATTACTATTTCTTACACTGGAACTTTTAATAAACAGGAAGTTGATCATTTCAATTCTTTCATCATAATCTTTTGTAAACTGGAAGCTGTTCATTTTCTGCACTGTGATCAATAGTACACAGAAAGTTGATCATTTCCTTCACTGGAACCTTTGATAAACAGGAAGTTGATCATCTCTTTTACTTGAACCTCTGGTAGACAGGAAGTTGATCATCTCCATCACTGGAACCTTTGATAAACAGGAAGTTGATCATTTCCTTTACTGGAACCTCTGGTAGACAGGAAGTTGATCATCTCCTTCACTGGAACCTCTGGTAGACATGAAGTTCATCATCTCCTTCACTGGAACCTCTGGTAGACATGAAGTTGATCATTTCATTCACTGGAACCTCTGGTAGACATGAAGTTCATCATCTCTTTTACTGGAACCTTTGGTAAACAGGAAGTTCATCATCTTCTTCACTGGAACCTCTGGTAGACATGAAGTTAATCATCTTCTTCACTGGAACCTTTGGTAAACAGGAAGTTCATCATCTTCTTCACTGGAACCTCTGGTAGACATGAAGTTAATCATCTTCTCCACTGGAACCTCTGGTAAACAGGAAGTTCATCATCCCTCTCAGTACAAAAAGGACTGTCAGGAGGAATGTCTCAGCAAAGGAGATCAGTTTTTTAAGTTAAGCTCATTGTCATTGATAATTCTGAACTTTTAATGTTACATTTGAGGTTAAAATACATTGATTTGATATCCAACAGTTGTGTCTGTATTTCTATGTTTTATAACTATGTCTTCCTAGATGGTACACTCCATTCCTGATACAGCATCACTCAGTCTATCTATGCAATACCGACATTTAGCACCCTTTGTATCTAACTTTAACATTAAAATGGCTTTAACATGTTATTCAATGATGACTTGATTGATTTAGTTAAATCGAATAGTCTCTTAATGTTCAGAATACTTTTAATTGGTGATAATCTCTTATAATTCAATTTAATAAGCTCACAATATTGTATTTTCAACATATGCCATGATGAGTAAGGTATCTTTTTGACCATTTATGTAATCTATCGGGTTACGAGATTATTTGTTGACTTGTTGACCTTGAAGGTTGTACAAAAGGTCACACAATGTTGGGTTTTAGCACAGATCACAAATATGTCATACAAACTCATATGAGATACATACATCAGATTTCATTGTGAATTGTAATATAGAAAAGTGGGACGCCTTCATTGAGCATATTAGGTTATCATGAAAACATGAGGTATCTCCATTGTGAAATCGAACATTATATCAGAAATGTAAGACTCCTTCATTGTGACATCTTACCTTCCTTACTACTGAGGTATGTTGAAGAGGACAGGAAAGAATTACAACTTTTCTTATGTATTCATTTATATGATGAATTATTTGCAATAAAATTTCATTCATAATGATGTAGTGATTTGAGTTGTTTTTAGCTTGCCTGCCCTTTAAGGTCAAGACGCTGTCTGTCAGTTTGTCAGTTTTTACCCAGTGGCCAGATCAAATTGCCCCTCATCCCTCGTCCTTCTTCCGATGTCCGTCATCCGTCCATTGTCCATCCTTCAACAATTCTCGTTTTTGCTTTTTAGTTCACCTGGCCTGAAGGCGCAGCATCCGTCTGGCGTCTGGCTTTTAACCAAAAGGTCCAGGGTGATGATATTTGGCTAGTAACCCACAGACAAGAAGGGCTACCAAGTTTGTTCATATGAATGAACTTCACCATTTTCAAGGTCACCGGAGTCAAATATGTTCTTCTGAATAACCAAAATGTCCTGGGTGATATTTGGTCAGGAGCATGCTGGGATGAAGGGCTTTTAAATGAATGCCCTTCACACATATTCAAGGTCACAGGGGTCAAATATATTGAAATCTTTAAACCATTTCTTCTTAAATAACCTAAATGTCCAGGGTAATGATATTCGGTCAGTAGCATGCTGTGATGAAGGGCTTCCAAATTAGTTCGAATGATTGACCTTGACATATTCAAGGTATAAGGGGTCAAATATGTTAAAAACTTTTAAACAACTTCTGATGAATAACAAAGAGGCCGGGGGTGATGATATTTGGACAGTTACATGCGGGGATGAAGGGCTACAATTGTACCAAGTTTGTTGAAATGAATGACCTTCACCTATATTAAAGACCACTGGGGTCAATGGTCTTAGACACATTTAAACAACTTCTTCTGAACAACCAAAATGTCCAGGGTGATGACATTTGGCAAGTAACATGCAGACATGAAGGGCTACCAAGTTTGTTCAAATGAATTACCTTCACCCATATTCAAGGTCACAGGGGTCAAATAATTCAAACCTTTAAGTGACTTCTTCTAAATATCAAAAATGCAAAGGATGGTGATATGTGTTAATCTTTTTTGACAAGAATTACAATACAAATATTTGTCAGCTTTCATATGTAGGTTCCATTTGGTCTGCAGTTGTGCATTTTTATTTTGAAACTAATTATTGGCAAAACAAGATGGCTGCCAGGCAACCATCTCAGATTTTGATAGTAAATATCATATGTAGATTTACCATTAATACTCAGTAAGTAAATTCTTCCTGTTCGATAGTTTTGCCTATTTGGTATAGAACTACAGTTTGCTTGATCAGAAGGAAAATATGACTGCCACAAAACAGAAACTTCTCTATTTTGAAATATATTTACACATAATAAGTTTGACAAACAAAGACTGACCTTTGAAAGGACATTGTCAAACCAAACAAAATACAGCTTAAAAGTGGGAAATATTTAAATTATGTTGGAATCAAAATCATAAGATGGCCGCTTGATGGTGTAAAAATTAAAATCCTGACCAATTCCATATTCTTCAGACCCAGGTATTCCAGAATCAATTAATCTTCATGGTTGGAAAGGCGCTTTGTCGTCCGTTTTCTCCAGGGAGGAGGTAAAATTGACTACTAATTATATGCTGATTTAGAAATTCATTTCATTTTGGTGGGGAATAATGCCAAATTAGAGTAATTATTACATTAATTAAGATTGCAGTTTGGAAGTATTGGACCCTGGTTATACATGGGCGGTCCCGGACCCTTCGCCGGGGCTTACACATATCTTTGGCCCAAGCTACGCGTCTAGATATATATAGTACAGTAATCTGAATCAGGGGTTCGAATCCTGGTCGAGTTTCAATTTTGTTTACACTCAAAACACTGTTGTTGATATATAATGTTTTTAGTCCATCCACGGAATTAGATTCTAAGTCCGTGGTTCATCCCACAAGATACGGTTTTCTTATTCAGAAATGATTTGCCAAAGTTAAAGATAGTCATGCCGATAAAACAGCTTACACTACGTAAAAGTATCGTTTAGTTTTTGGCAGCGTTACGGGGATCCTTAAAGTACTTTCCAGATACACTGGTGGTCAAGGGAAGGTGCCGGAATTAAGTGCCGACGGTTCCCGATTGTGTGGATACATCGTTGTCTTGGTGTCAACAAATACCAAATATCCGCAATGGGAAAATAATTCAACGACATTACTTTAGATTTTACTTTATTTTATCTGAACACTCATGTGTTATACATTTCCATAATATAAAATAAGGAGGCAATAAGCGTCATCACACTTATGTAAATTTCCCATCCCTATTTGATTCGGTAGTTACAGCACTATAGACTTGTAGATATAAGACACAGGGGTAGGAAAACTCGGCGTGGACTATATATACATACTTATATACAATATCGTGTTTATTTACAACTGATTTACACAATTTATTTTCAAATTATATGAAATATATACACAATAGATTCATATATACATACTATGCTGGATTACAAGTATATCACGTGGTGTTTGATAATATGATGAATGCGATGAACTCGCAGTACCAAAATGCAGTAAATCTGCGAGAAAACACGAGAGTACATGAATAGCATTTAAACTATGATCTGAATACCAAAAGTACTAAGGCTATTTCATACTCATGATCAGTACACAAATACCGCTTCTCTGCTCGACTTAACTTGTACATCCACTAACTTCAGTTCCTCGAATCAGGAATAATCACGATGAATAGCATGGTTACTTTGCGATAGAGGCATTTGATCAATTAATACGTTTCTATTGGGTTGCTGACCTGTGTCCGTGTAAACGTTTACTGGAAAGTTTTGACGTATGGAACAACTGGCCTTCCATCATACGCAGCAAACCACAGGTGTCCTTGTGTCCGACTGAAGGCCAACATCAGCTGACCGCTTCTCATTATTTATGTAGGAACATCGAACTTTTCTGTCTAGCACAGCATTATATGATCATTACATGTAGGTCTATCAATTATTGTGTTTACCTATACATTAAAACTACTAATTTGTGTCATGGGTATGTTTGACATCATACATGACAGTTCCGCAAAAAGAGTATTTTCGCAAAGAGCAATCTTCTTTGCATCATGACGGAATCCACACAGTTACCATATGTGCGTCTCACGACGAACTTTCTTCATCCTTCATCTTCGGGGTCCACCTCGAGTGGGGGGTGTTCCATGTGGGGAAAGAAAACTCTCAGGGTGGGTGAAGGGGTTTCTTGAAGCCCAAAAAACCCTCTGGATCCGCCACAGCTCCGGGACACCCGTGTCGCTTTCATCCTGGTGACGTCAGTTGCCTTCTCTACAAAATCCCTTTCTTCCACCTGGATAATAGATAATAAAAAAAGCAATATAGTTGCACGTGAATTGTAAATAACAGTCATATTGAATGCTACCATAAACAGTCTGTATTATTGTGTAAAACATGTTACGCAGCAAGTTATCAGTATAGTATTACTTAGCTTTAACAATGTGTAGCGACACAATGCGGTACACTGTCTGGTTATAAATTTAAATGATTTAACTGTGGACAGTGTTGTTGTCTGTGTCGTGACCACACTAATCAGCTTGATTCAGTTGACCTTCAGTATCACCCCTTGATATGACAATTACCTTCACTCTATAACAGTTCGGAATCCCTCCTCTGTTGACTAACCATCCACTGAGTGAGACAGTCGTCTGTTGCCGACAGTCCTGGCAAAGTCAGCTGGGGGCGACTCACGGTGTTGGCAAAATATTTGCTGTACATCATTCCACTTCCCACCACGGTCTCGGAGCTCATACCTGCTCTCGGTTTCTGGAACTGGAGACTATATGACGGTAGACGGTGTCCACGTGCTCCCTAAGGATAAATATACATTGCATATCATTAATTCCAGATAAAACATCGGGGGAATACCAACCTTACGATACTAATATATAGATGTGCATTCTATATATTTAATTTTATTGGTAAAAATAGTTAAGGTCCCACTGCCAGACCACAGGTTTTCAAAGAAGGTACAATGTACATACATTGTAGAATCATCGAGCGTTAAAGCGATATCATCGAATGTAACTATTCACTCATGTCTTACTCGTGGTCGAAGTTGTCTGTTTTGGTAGTCCCTGGTCGGTATAGCATGTTCACCAATAAGTTGTTCAACGCCTGTCTCAAACTTTACGATACGGTGAACGATCTCCGCCGGATCTGGTGCGGCTTGCACAAGGTTTCTGGATCCTCTTGCGGCATTAGGCCTGGCTACAACACGACAGTTGAATTGTGGACGGCAAACGGAATCTTCACTGCTTGAGGAGGAGGAGGGCCTACCATCATCTTCTATGTCAAGATCTGGCATTTCTTCTCGTTCGAAGACATTGCCAATTAGCTCGGATGCCTGGCTTTGATGAGTTGCTTTCTTTGTGTCTTTGTTAATGGGAGTAGGCGACCTGTCACATCCGCTCGATGATATGTCATCTCCATTTCCATATCCTCTCCCATAGTCTCCATCTAGCGACACCTTGCCTTGAGCATTAAGTTTGCTCTGTTTTCCCCTTCGGAAGAAATCTGATAATCTTGATGAAAACCTGGAAGAAATCGTACTTCTCTCCGACATCGATGATACATCACTGATTGGTGTGTCCCCTCTACGGTCCAACATTACCTCTCCCTTGTAGAAAGATATATCCATTTCACTTTCGGCTGTTACACTCCTTGCATCTGAATCTTCATCTATGTAATCGGGAGGGTACATATGTAGACTTAACACTTCCTCCTCCTCTGTATTGGCCTCCGACATGGCCTGCTGACATTTCTCCACAATTTCCTTTGTAACTGATGCAGTGTGGCACTCCAGATCTTTCTTGGAGTCCGTAAAGCTCGAACTTTGGCTAATCACTTCCGACATTTTCCCGTCATCATCACTAGAACGCTGATTCCTTATCTTCTTCAAATTACAACCCATCTCTATCTATAGAATATTATCAAATTTGCGAATGCGTGCGTTTATCAAGGCTCGTAGCTTAGCTAGAGTTGCGCGATCCCAAAATGCAATTATAACAATGACTATGACGTCATAATGCTCCATTGTCTGTTACGTCATCAATGAATTACTTGCAGGCGTTGCAAATATCGTAGTTTTTTTTTATCTTTGGATGCCTTGCTTTATATACTGGTAATTAACGAATCGGGATCTACATCAATAGCTCGCTGGTTTAGTAAATATCTACCATATCCACTAATACAGGCTGAAATACATGTTTCAGACATTTCAACAATCGTTATACAGAACACTATTTTCCTATATATCTGGTAAAAATGTACTACAGGGGCCGCGGTGGCCGAGTGGCTGATATCACTGGCCCTCCACACTGGGTCGCAGGTTCGAGACATACGTGGGGCAGTCGCCAGGTACTAGCCGTAGGTCGGCGGTTTTTCTCCAGGAACTCCGGTTTTTCTCCACCACCAAAACATTGCACGTCCTAAAATTACCATATCTGTTAATAGGACTTAAAGCACAAACAAACAAAAATGGTAATATAGTTCACACAGCGTCCAATCTACTTTTTCAATCATTCAGCCGTTCTCCTCTCAAAAAATAAGTATCTTGCAAAACACAAATGGTTTATAGTATGTTAAAAACTGTGCGGAATCAGTGCAACTCTACATACATTTAATATGTAGCTCCTTTCCCCTCAAATTATAAGACGACAGGCTTGGATGTTTTATCTTGTTTATTCCCGTAGGAAAAACCTGTAATATTAACAAACGAATACAATAGATACATTTGATAACACATTGACCTGAACTTACATACATCGAATTGAATACAAAGACGCGAGTATACAAGACGGTAAATTACAAACGTACAATGACAATGTGAACATTACAGACAGACTTACCAGGGCTGATACGGATGGATGGTGACTCCTACGAGTCCTGAAGAGGAATGGCTGGTGAGAGTTGGGTTGGGACGTGACAGGACTCCGGTCTGCCCGTGCATTCCGTTTATACTCCTCACCCCATTCAACCAATCATACGCACGCACGTACATACTGACATGTATTTACTTATGTAAGAATGACAATGTTATGCACGTGATAGATGATGTGTTAGTGCAGTGAACCTAGTACACATGGGGTACAGGGTTACATGGGTTACAAATAGTATTTCTGAACAGTTCAGGGGCCAGACAAAATAATAATTACTATTTTTGTTCCCGTTAGACATCAAGGAATTCTCCGACCCTTGTTAATATTGGAAAATGGAGGACGTTTCACATGTAGAAGAATTCCTTTATTTTATAAACAGTCATTGCCGTCGAACATCGCTAATCCGAGCTAACAAAAGACTTTCGTCATCATCTGTACTTCTCTTTGTTTGTCCTGAAAATTCACTATTTCGGAATTTATGTCTTTGCACACGAATATATTTAGCATCCGGATTAACTAAATTTTGCACACGGAATTGTTTTGAAGGTGTTGGATTCATGCAACAAAGTGTCCGGATTTACTACATTTAGTTCTTCGGTACGAAAGTATCCGGGTTATCTATATTATTGGTACGGAAGTGTCCGGATTAAGTTTTTGATACGGATGTGTCCGGATTATAAAGGTTTTGAAACAGAAGTGTCAAATTAGCTAGGTTATGGATAAGAAAGTGTTTGAACTATCTATGTTTTGGATACGGATTTGTCCGGATTATATTTGGATACGGAAGGATACGGATGTGACCAGACTATATAGGTTTTGGATACGAAAGTGTTTGAGTTTTCTAAAAACAAATGTATACGGATATGTCCGGATTGTTTAAGGAAGCGTCCAGAATACCTTGGTCGGATACAAAGAATATCTACCAAAGTATCAGATTTTTTTTCAGTCCAATATGTCACTTACAATAGGTTAATCGTGTTTTATGCGTGCGCTTCATACCATAGTAACAGACATCGCATATAACATGTATATTTACATGTACTCATAGATCAAAATATGTCAATACTTGCAAGCTAACCTTAAAGTGGAAGCAAGATGAGGTATTTATTTCTATTTGTTTATAGCTATACATGTTTCAATCGTATCGTTAACGGTTTTGTAAATAACTAATTTCATAGACCTATTACGTTACGCATAACATTGAAACGATTTTGTTAGATGTTCATAGGGAGTGAAAGGAGATTTTTCATTCTCATGCCGGTACGGACGCAAATCGGTTACATCCATATTGCATGAAGCCTACTTGTTTGACAGATTAACCGTCATTACAATATATCCCCTAAAAGTAGTTCAGATTACTACGCCCACCTCACGAAATTGTAGCAAATGGCACGTGTATTTCTTATTTCATATCCAAATGAAATACATTTCTCTTGATACATATAATGTTATATAGTGGCAATGTAAGAATGTCATACATATTTTTACAAATAATAGAGCTACAATTGTGTGCGCAAAACCCTGTACACATGTAAATATACTTTGTAGTTGAAAACGGTTAAAAAGTGAAACCATTCTGGACGAATAATCAACTTTAAATCGAGGGGAAAAGAGTACTTGTCCCATGTGACAATGTTACGGGATCCGTATCGAGATGAAATGGAATCCGTATATTGTAATTAGTATTATTGAATCTGTATCATCCATATTAAATTTACCATCTTTTGTTAAATACTTTAGTTTCTCCGTGCCAATGAACACAGAGCTCCCAAGGCAAAACTAACGCATACAATTGTCCAAATAGCACTTCTAAAGCTTTCAAATTATTGCTTAAATCAGCATCTCTCTAGAGAAATATACCCGGACGGAAGTCGTTTACGACGCAAAATAAACTTCTCGCTCTTATTAATCACGAGTATCGGGATTACCCCAGTACAAAAAGACACACATTTGTAACGCCAGTAAAATATCAATGATGACGTAATAGTCAATGAAACATTATGACGTCATAGTCATTGTTATAATTGCATTTTGGGATCGCGCAACTCTAGCTTAACTACGAGCCTTGATAAACGTACGCATTCGCAAACTTAATAATATTCTATAGATAGAGATGGGTTGTAAATTCACGAAGGTAAGGGATCAGCGTTCTCGTGATGATGACGGGAAAATGTCGGAAGTGATTAGCCAAAGTTCGAGCTTTACGGACTCCAAGAAAGATCTGGAGTGCCACACTGCATCAGTTACAAAGGAAATTGTGGAGAAATGTCAGCAGGCCATGTCGGAGGCCAATACAGAGGAGGAGGAAGTGTTAAGTCTACATATGTACCCTCCCGATTACATAGATGAAGATTCAGATGCAAGGAGTGTAACAGCCGAAAGTGAAATGGATATATCTTTCTACAAGGGAGAGGTAATGTTGGACCGTAGAGGGGACACACCAATCAGTGATGTATCATCGATGTCGGAGAGAAGTACGATTTCTTCCAGGTTTTCATCAAGATTGTCAGATTTCTTCCGAAGGGGAAAACAGAGCAAACTTAATGCTCAAGGCAAGGTGTCGCTAGATGGAGACTATGGGAGAGGATATGGAAATGGAGATGACATATCATCGAGCGGATGTGACAGGTCGCCTACTCCCATTAACAAAGACACAAAGAAAGCAACTCATCAAAGCCAGGCATCCGAGCTAATTGGCAATGTCTTCGAACGAGAAGAAATGCCAGATCTTGACATAGAAGATGATGGTAGGCCCTCCTCCTCCTCAAGCAGTGAAGGTTCCGTTTGCCGTCCACAATTCAACTGCCGTGTTGTAACCAGGCCTAATGCCGCAAGAGGATCCAGAAACCTTGTGCAAGCCGCACCAGATCCGGCGGAGATCGCTCACCGTATCGTAAAGTTTGAGACAGACGTTGAACAACTTATTGGTGAACATGCTATACCGACCAGGGATTACCGAAACAGACAACTTCGACCACGGGTAAGACATGAGTAAATAGTTACATTCGGTGTTATCGTGTGAACACCCGATGGTTCTACAATGTATGTACCTTCTTTGAAAACCTGTTGTCTTGCAGTGGGACCTAAACTATTTTACAAATAAAATTAAATACATGTATATAGAATGCACATCTATATATTAACATGGTAAGGTTGCAAGTCCATCAATGTTTAATTTGGAATTAATGTTATACAAAGACTATTTATCCTTAGGGAGCACGTGGACCCCGTCTGCCGTCATATAGTCTCCAGTTCCAGAAACCGATAGCAGGTGTGAGTTCCGAGACCGTGGCGGGAAGAGGAATGATGTACAGCAAACATTTTGCCAACACCGTGAGTCGCCCCCAGCTGACTGTGCGAGGACTGTCGGCAACAGACGACTGTCTCACTCAGTGGATGGTTAGTCAACAGAGGAGGGATTCCGAACTGTTATAGAGTGAAGGTAATTGTCATATCAAGGGATGATACTGAAGGTCAACTGAATCAAGCTGATTAGTGTGGTCACGACACAGACAAGCACATTGTCCACAGTTGCATCGCTTAAATTTATAACCAGAAAGCGGTCCTGATCATGTCGCTACACATTGTTGCGGCTTGGTAGACTAATAACATTGTGATGACTTACTGCGTAATATGTTTAACACAGTGATATGCTGTTTATTCTTCTGCACTTAATATTACTGTTACTTACAATCCATGTGGAATTATACTGCTTTTATTTGCTAATCTCAACATATTTTTAATCTATTATCCAGTTGGAACAAAGGGACATTGTAGAAAAGGCAACTGACGTCACCGGGATGAAAGCGATACGGGTTTATCAGAACAACTTTCTGCAACGTGTTGTCAACGTGTTCATCGATACATGAACCATGATTGTGACTGTTGAATGGTGGTGGACATCGAAGATAAGTTCGGCGGTGAGATACACAAACAATACCTGTATGGATTCCGCCATGATGTACTAGAAATTGGAAACTCTCTTCCAGAAATACTCGTTTTTCGCGGAACTGTCGTTCATATTTTAAGGTAAACAGTTTACATGCCCGTGCGCAAGTTTTCATCATTTCAGAACAACATCGTAGATAACAAACACATGATGGCTAACATACCCATGATCTATCTAACACATAGTAGCAGTTATAATGTAGGTAAACATAGTGCTGTTTAGAAGGACAGATAATTTAATACTCATTAAAATAATCTGCAATCGTCCGCTGATTTGGTTTGACCTTCAGCTACGGGAAAACATGGAACCAGTCTTTGATTGCCCCTGTTTTTCTTACGAGAACTATGCTGGATTTGGTGGAATGTCGCTTGCTGAACAGGTTAGAGTATTACCGGCGAGAGTTTACACGGACAAAGGTCGGCAACCCACTGGAAACACATAACCTCATCAAATGCTCCTGTATACAGTAGAGATTATTCTTGCATATAATTTGTAAATATATTGTGTATATAGTGTAGATAAAATATAAATAAATACGACATTGCCTATACGTACAATGTATATATATATATCTATATATAGTCCACGCCCAAATTTCCTACCCCTGTGTCTTATTTCTACAATGCCTAAAGTGCTGTAAGTGCCGAAACGATTAGGGATGGAATATTTACATAAGTGTGAGGATGCTTTTTGTCTCCATGTTTTATATCATTGAACTGTATAACACATGAGTGGTTACATTCAGAAGCACTTTAAGAAGCGACACGACGCTTACAACGGTGTCAACTACAATGAATCAATGAACAAATGAACATGAATGTTAAAATGAAATAAAGTTTAAACTGAGGTAATGTCGTTAAATGATTTCTCCCGGCGCAGATATTGTATTTGGTGCTACAAAAGCAACGATTTGTCATGAATATCAAAGACAAGTGGGTCACTTACATTGGAGCCTTGAAAATCCACATGTAAGGTTTTTGAGTCACTTACATTTGAACCTTGACAATCCACATGCACAGCTTTTGAGTCACTTACATTGTATATTCAACCTTGACAATCTACATGCACTGCTTTTAAGTCACTTACATTGAACCTTGACAATCCACATGCACAACTTTTAAGTCACTTATTTTGGAGCCTTAACAATCCACATGCACTGCTTTTAAGTCACTTACATTGGAGCCTTGGCAATCCACATATACAGCTTTTGAGTCACTTACATTGGAGCCTTGACAATCCAAATGCACAACTTTTGAGTACCTTACATTGGAGCCTTGACAATCCAAATGCACAACTTTTGAGTCACTTACATTGGAGCCTTGACAATCCACATATACAGCTTTTGAGTCACTAACTTTGGAGCCTTGATAATCCACATGTACGGCTTTTGAGTCACTTACATTGAACCTTGACAATCCACATGCACAGCTTTTGAGGCACTTAAATTGAACCTTGACAATCCACATGCACAGCTGTTGAGTCACTTAAATTAACCCTTGACAATCCACATGCACAGCGGTTGAGTCACTTAAATTGAACCTTGACAATCCACCTGCACAACTCTTGAGTCACTTACATTGATCCTTGACAATCCACATGCACAGCTTTTGAGTCACTTACATTGAACCTTGACAATCCACATGCACAACTTTTGAGTCACTTACATTGGGGCCTTGATAATCCACATGCAATTTTTTTAAGTCGCTTACATTTGAGCCTTGACAATCCACATGTTCTTTTTTGAGTACCTTACATTGGAGCCTTGACAATCTACATGCACAACATTTGAGTCACTTACATTGGGGCCTTGACAATCCACATGCAATTTTTTTTAGTCGCTTACATTTGAGCCTTGACAATCCACATGAACGGCTTTTTAGTCACTTACTTTAGAGCCTTGACAATCCACATATACAGCTTTTGAGTCGCTTACATTGGAACCTTGACAATCCACATTTTCGTTTTTTGAGGCACTTACTTTGGGGCCTTGACAATCAACATATACAGCTTTTGAGTCACTTATATTCGGGCCGTGACATTCAACATGCACATCTTTTGAGTCACTTACATTGGAGCCTTGACAATCCACATGCATACTTTTTGAGTCGCTTACATTGGAGCCTTGACAATCCACATATACCGCTTTTGAGTCACTTATATTGGAGCCTTGACAATCCACAAGCAAACTTTTTGAGTCGCTTACATTTGAGCATTGACGATCCACATGTGCGGCTTTTGAGTCACTTACATTGGAGCCTTGACAATCAACATATACAGCTTTTGAGTCACTTACATTGGAGCTTTGAAAATCTACATGTACAGATTTTGAGTCACTTAAATTCGGGCCGTGACATTCAACATGCACATCTTTTGAGTCACTTACATTGGAGCCTTGACAATCCACATGCATACTTTTTGAGTCGCTTACATTGGAGCCTTGACAATCCACATATACCGCTTTTGAGTCACTTGCATTGGAGGCTTAATAATCCACATGTACGGCTTTTGAGTCACTTATAATGGAGCCTTGACAATCCACATGCAAACTTTTTGAGTCGTTTACATTTGAGCCTTGACAATCCAGATGTACGGCTTTTGAGTCACTTATATTGGAGCCTTGACAATCCACATTTTCGTTTTTTGAGTCAATTATATTGGAGCCTTGACAATCCACATGCACAACTCTGAGTCACTTACATTCGGGCCGAGACATTCAACATGCACTGCTTTTGAGTCACTTATATTTGAGTTTTGATAATCCACATGTACGGCTTTTGAGTCACTTATATTGAAGCCTTGATAATCCACATGCAAAAGTTATGAGTCACTTACATTGGAGCATTGACAATCCCCATATACAGCTTGTGAGTCACTTACATTGGAGCCTTGACAATCCACATGTTCGTTTTTTGGGTCACCTACTTTAGGGCATTGACAATCCACATGTTCGTTTTTGGATTCACCTAATTTGGAGCCTTGACAATCCTGGCACCTCCGTTACGAGCAGTGATAGTGATAAACCTGGATTGCTGGGACAATTTAAATTGAAAAAAAAATGTCACCTAAATGCGATGACTGAATAAAAGATGTTCGATTGTATATGTATATGAGTAGCATCGCTATCCTCGTGTGGGCCACAGGGGATCAACATGGGTGGAATATAGAACACATACAGGACGTTGTCATTATATGTCACGAAGTGCGCGAAGGACGGAACGAACTTTAACAAATATTTCTTGTATACCAATGCCTATTTTTATTTTCCATTGGACAAATAAATATCAGCTTTTGAACAAATTGCAGTAGTTGCACATTCAGTAGTCCTGGTACATGCGAAGACAACAATCATACACGCAAAGACTTATCATGGTAAGTTTTACACGTGAATGATTGAATGCACAATATCTTCTGTAGGAAAATTCAGTTGTCGATGATTTTTTCGCGACAATCACAACACGTAGTTTTCGTCAGACATAAGATAAAGTTGACAGGGGAGGTCTAGGTCAGGCCTCAACCCTTTATAGTGTTTTATGAAGGAAACTAAATGTCCAGAAGAAAACCACGTACGTCATGTGTAACAGTGTACTTATGTTTCACGTGGTGGTTTGAGGAAAAGGTCAGAGAAAGCGTTTATTTGTTTATCTATTGAAAGAGATATTTTGATACTCACAATGAGTAGATATTTTGATACTCACAATAAGCAGATATTTTTATACTCACAAATAGTAGATATTTTGATACTCACAATGAGTAGATATTTTGATACGCACAATGAGTAGATATTTTTATACTCACAATGAGTAGATATGTTGATACTCACATTGAGTAGATATTTTGATACTCACCATGAGTAGATATTTTAATACTCACAACGAGTAGATATTTTGATACTCACAAATAGTAGATATTTTGATACTCACAATAAGTAGATATTTTTATACTCACAATGAGTAGATATGTTGATACTCACAATGAGTAGATATTTTGATACTCACAATAAGTAGATATTTTTATACTCACAAATAGTAGATATTTTGATACTCACAAATAGTAGATATTTTGATACTCACATGGGTAGATATTTTGATTTCAATATTGTTGCTTTTACATAAAATAATTACTAGAAATACATGTGCACAGTAAGGAGGAAATATTTAAGAAAATTAATTTCTCGATGTACAAACCTAAAAAAAAGTTCATTTTACAGCACCAAGTGGCCATTTTGGACTTATAGGGCAAACATATGTATTAGTGCTACAAAATGCTTCCCAAAAGAGTGAAATAAAATCAAAGTAGCAAGTGTTTAGAAACATCTGTAGAAATGCAGCGAAAGGGGAAGGTTGTTTAAGAGACCTTTCTAACGTTACGAATTGATGACTTTACGTTACAACAGGGAAATAATGCTATAATACAGACCTATATAGAAGAACGGTCGGTGGTTCTTATCCGAGGTGAAGGATTTTAAGACAAAATATCATTAAAAGTCTTGCAGTTTCAGGTTTTTTTTGCGATCTTTCAATAATCTTACTCTGTTAAAATAAACTTTGCATAGATGATTGTATTACAGTATCATTGGTACAAAATAGTGACATCAAGGATTATTAAACATTTAAAAAATAAAATCTTGTGTGTATTGATATAGTGAGCAATATAGATTAAGTTTCTATTTAACTTGATTATGTAATCGCTGAGACATTTCTAAAAAAGAGTCAAGTGTGTTATATTTGTAAATCACGATATGAATGTAAATACGTCAATAATGTTGTTTAAATAAGCTCAGATATCTCAGATCATCTCAAATATATCGTCGGCCCTTTAAATTTAAGAGCGATTTTCATTATATTTGAAGGGGGGAGGGGGGCAAAGGTATTTTTAAAGGAAATAGCCAGTTGTTTGGGACTAATATCCTCGGTCCCAGATGAACATCGCATTCATACAGAGAAAACACTTTAAGTCACCAGTCTAGGTGATATTTGGTCTGTTTACATTCCAATAAATTGAGTCGGAGTCACCTCCTGAGCTATATACAGGTATTGTCCTTACTGTAGGGGAACACGATATTTTGTTTCACAATATTTGATCAAGTTTCAAGAGAGCGAAGCTCAGGTGAAACATGATTAATCGAGGAGAAACAAAGAATCGTGTTTCTCTACTGCAAGGCCAATAAATATATTTTATGATGCCCCAAAAAAAAAATCAATCAAAAACAATAAAATAATGTATGGCCAGGTTGACGTGTCATTGATGTCGTCTGTCATTTACAACTAGGTGTTATTGTAAACAGGTATTTATGGTACGTAAACGGTACACATCAGTAACCTTGACTGATTGTTAAACAATAAGATTTCTGTCGGTACCTATGGCCCATTTTTCCAAAATGTCGACCAATCACGATCAAGCAAGAAGGAAGTAATAAGAACGGGAATTTATATATAGAGTAGGCTTCGTCTGTCTCTCCATAACTACCAGCCGACGCAGGGCGAATCCTGTTACTTTAAAGGTAAGCTCATGTAGAATTGTATATTTAATAATTGTAAATGTAACAATTAATCAAATCTTTTCAGGTGTTTATTATATACTTTCTTTCGGAATCATTCATTTTTATTATTTTGTTTGCAGATATAGCTTTTAATATGCACTGTTTCATCTTCGGGAACATGCACAGCTTTCGAATCACGTAAATACAGCCTCGATAATTCCGCCCCCTTCATTCTCAGCACAATTAGCGTCTAGCTAGTGAGACGATTGATCACTGGGACATTAGTGAATTTTAACGAGATCGAATACCACTTGGCCCTCGACGCATTATTTCGAAAAACTTAAAATTTAAATAAATATCTTCGTGATCTACTTTATCACTCCGTAGTTAATCCGTTCAGATCTCACTGGCTTTCTTTAAATTAAGGAATTATACTGTAGCGAAATGCAAAAATACATGGTTAATATTGAAAGTCATTACAACGGAACCCTCCGATATTGTGACACAAGTAAACAGACGACTGACTGCAGTTTGTTCCCCTTTATAGCAGTACAATTCCTTGACTTCTTGACTAAAAGTATCTTCAGTTTATACTTCACATGATCTTCACATACTGCACCTGATCAAGACCCTAGTCAAGCGGGTAAGCATTCACACCAAACCTCTTTTCGATAGCATATATAATTGTATAAGTGGTAAGCTGCGTAATGAATTTAAGATGAATAAGGTTTTTTTTCTTCCTTATACAATTCACGACCATCTGGGTTTTCTCCTGATACTCCGGTTTCCTTCTACATTAAGACCCCCTGCACGCTAACATGCGAGCCAACAAGAGTAAATAATATAAGCTATAAAAACTTGTTTCATAATTGTTCTTATTTAAATAACGCCATACCTTTTCACGTCCTATCAAGGAATCGAACCCTGGCCGCCTTGGTGAAAGGCCAGTCATTGGGAAATAGCCAGAATTAAGTATTTAATTCTTTGTTAAATTTTGCTTCAGAAACACAATATTATTATTTTCTTTTACAACAAACCTGATGATTCTGACCACAGTGATGCAAGCCTGTTTTCTGGCCGTACAGTACGGAGTTCTATATCTCACACTGGGAACACAATGGTTGTTATCCAGTTATCAAATTCCCGATTTAAGCCTCATTTCTTGTTTTGGTAACAAACAGGTACTTTGTTCGCAGAATACATATTTCCATCAAAAGTTTTATAGGCCTTAATGAGCGTTATCTTATATTACAAATTCTACCACGTTTACGATGTAACGACACTCTGCATTGCCTTTGGTTAATAAAAATGCAATTTAGGACGATAGACCATGCCCGGGCATCTATATTTTTCCAACAGACCAACGCACTTCCGAAAACCTCCCCCATCAATGTAAACAAGCTTAAGATAGCCTTGGAACTGCTTTCCTTTGTCGAATGAGGGAGTATGCATTTAATTTAGTATTAATTTAAGATTTCTCAGCGGCAAACACACATATTCTATTTATCAACTAGGTCAACTTTGATACTAGCTGCCAATTTCTCGGTCAGAATGTTCCGCGGAAATTACTTCGAAGGTGACCTAGATTTGTGATTTTAAATCGGTCAAATGTTGATTTTCTATATTGACAAGCGATGTCGATACAAACATTTTGTAGAAAGCATGACGCCAGTGTTAATTGTTTATCGTCTGATCCCAAAATGGCGAGGGAGAATGACAAAGACTCCAAAATATATCCAGGTAAAATAACAATATAGGACAACTGCACACAATGTCAGAAATGATAAAAGCGCACTGTCTGTTGTGAAATGAAGACATATATGCATCATGTGACACATGCTGGCGCGCGCAAAAGAAGACTAAACGAAATAATTAGATTATCTTAGTCACATTGCTGACCATAGGCTCATGGACACTGAGATAGACACAAGAAAAACAACTCGTTACGTTTTTAGAAATGTTTTAATCAGCATATGTTTATATATTATAACGCAGGGGGTCTTATTGTGGGAGGAAACCTGAGTACCCGGAGAAAACCCACGTGGTCGGGCAGGTGACCCCATACTTTTCACGTTCGATCGGGGAACCGAACCCCGGTCGCCTTAGTGAAAGGCAAGTGCGCTATCCACTGCGCCCAGCGACCACCCAACAATCATGTTGACAGATATTAATTCAACTGGCAGCCCTAAAGCTTTCAGAAAAACGCCAGCCATAAAAGCAAACAACGTTAGAATGCACACTCTGTACAAAACCAGTTTTCAGTTTACACTAGGAAGTTTGAAGTCACATTACAAACTAAAGCACTTAATAGAAAATGATATAGCGATGCTGAAGTCCATCAAGATTGAAGATCTCCTAGCTAGAATCTTTGTTGTACCTTACAACCATCTAGCTAGTGTTTTTTTGCCATATTGACCATAAACTTGTCATTTAAATCAGATAGGAACTGATAACTCTGCCGCTTGACACTGTCATGCACATTGTAATATATTGATCCTCTCTGAGAAACTGAAAGAACCTTCCTTCTCAAAATATTTGTTTATGTTGAGATCACATAGTTTTGTGTCTCAAGTGGCGTTCTGTCATGTTTTGAAAGTTATGTATACATTCTATTGCTATGTGCATTCTGTTATTTTCATCACAGTAAAAGAATTTCCTTTGAAAAGAGATCAACTGAAAATTGCTAGAAAGTAATGTCTCTGCAAAATTAGGAATTATGATATTGAACATGAAAACATTGTTACTAATATGAAATATGCTGTTTTAATTACATATCCCTCCAGTTAGCTTGTAACCGAAGGCTAATTATAGTGAATAATTCATCTTGAGGGGATATGCAATTACAACAGCATATTTCATATTACTAGTATTAACTTCTTTTTGTTTATGTATTTTTTATTATAAAATTGTTTCATGGTGACTGTTAATATCTGTCATATGTGATACATGTATGTAAAATTTCATGTTCCTGTCTTGATAAAGGGGCGGATCGCCCTGAAAATTTCATTGTGTGCACTGTCGTTATTACTTCTTTGCCAATATATCTAAAGTGCCCCCCCCCCACCCCNTAAGGCGACAATTATTCAATATAATTTGTTTTCGTAAACTAGAAAAAGCAGAGAAAAGTACCGAAGAAGATGGGAACAAACCGTGACATCCCTGCTATAGACATACTAACAAGATTTTCACGAGAGTGGGGTGGAATTGGCCGACCATCTGCCAAAGCATCAATTGATGGCCTACAACAGTACCGGTCACGTATGAGTGACGTCACTACTAGGACTCAAGCTGGCGTTACTAGCGTCCAATGCTACGTAGATGACGTCGGCAAAGAAATATCTTCATTAAGTGGCCAGGTGAAAACATCGTTGGTAGAGAACGTACATATCATGGCTGGGCTTATTGATAAATTTGGTAAGAAAATGTACATTTATTCGAAGGATTTCGGTTGATGAAATGTATGCCAATTATAGCGTTCTTTTGTTTTTACAGCTTACATGACAAGGAACGCTGGCATTCTTCGTCCGTTATTCGTCCATCATCCGTTCGCTGTCAACTTATAAGATAGATACCATTCTTAAACATTAAGACGCTTAGGGACATAGCTGTATTTCTTGTGTTTAACGGCTATCTAATTCGTTACAACTGTTTTTTTTAAACATGTAGGTACTAATAAGAGACTATGTGAGAGACGGAGGTCCCATGGGATTCTTGCTATTATTATTTTCCAATGATATGCTTTCAATAAAACATACAAGCATTTTAATTATGTTTATTTCTGAAAATGGCAATAGGAACAAGTAAAAAAGATTGCACAGGAGAAAAGAAAGTTTTTAATAAGAGTTCCGTTAAGAACCGAGTGTTAACGTATGCGGGTATCTCTTCTTCGATTTAGTAAGGTTGTTCTATACAATATTCACTAATTCTTGCTTATATTGAATTCAAGTCTTGATGTATACGTTTAATTGAGTAAAAAACAAACCAATATTATAATATTCTTTTACAAAACTAGTATTTTTTGTCTATACTGCAGTCCCCACAAAGAGACTAGATGAGTTGACGTATGGAAGGTATGTAGATTATGCAGATACTGAAAATTAAATTTCTTTAACCATTGAAACTGTTGGCAATGACAAACGAAACATTTATGCCGAATTATAAATAAATGCCTGTGATTTATATGTTATAAGCTCTCACGGAGCGCAGTTTGTTGGAATAAGGGCTATCAATTGGGTTCAGAGCAATGCCTTTGATTAACAGTGCTTAACAACGTGCTTGTTTAAAGATCATACCATTTAATGATCCACTTGTGTATGCATGAATACAGTTTCAAAGGGACTGGGAAGCATGGTTAGAGATTGCGTAAATTCCTTTAAAATGTTCTTTTAAATCATTAAATGACTTTCAACCAACCAATGGTTTCTTTTTGATATAATTTGTTTTCATCTTATTTACATGAAGATACACGTTTTGCTGATATAAATGATCTTGACCTATATTCACAAAGAGAAATATGTAAAAACTTTACAAGGTAGTCAATATGTTTACAATTGTCCTGCCCTATATAGCTAACTTGAGAGCAAGGCCAACGAATGTGTTCAATAAATGATGTTGAACAATATTCAAGGTCACATAAATCTAAGACTTGAAATGATTTCTTATTACACATGTAGATAGCTGGTATTTCAGGGCTAACCATATTGTTAAAAATCATCATATGAACAAGTCATATAGGTGAAACACCGAACGTCTTCTTCTGAAGCATATAAGCATAAAATGGTTTCCATTCACAATCAAATACCAATAGAGTGATTTATTTGATCATGTGCATGTTTATAATGCATCATACAGTGCAAAATAATTGACTTATTCAAGTTTTATATCTAGTTTCTATACATCATCACGCATGAATGATAATGAAATGACTGCAAGACAAGCTGAAGAAATAGCCAAGACGATTGCACAACAACAAGAGCTGGGATTGTTCCTGGAAGAGATGAAACACACATGCGAAAAGGTAAGATCACAGGACGGGCTAGACACAGAGGACATCGAACGCTTAAAAGATCACTTGAAAGATTATGGTGATACCTTAGAAACTGAAAAGGAGCGCCGAGATAGAGAAGAAAAACAGAAAAAAGAAAGAGAAAGAAGGGAAAGGAAGGAGAAAGAACGCAAAAAAGAGGAAGAACGACGAAGAAATCCAGAAAATTGGAAACCTCTTGTGTAAGTAATGATGAACCATGAAGCGTGTTCGGTTTTTATTTAGCTTATCAGTATGTGTTTATTATTGTATATCGTAATATGTCTATGAAAGTTATAAATCATGATGTAGCCTACATTTTCGTGAGAATACTTATTTGATAACTCTATTACCTGTTGTTGATCATAAATAGGTACAATATATATATATAACAACTGTATATTACCTGTTGCTGATCATAGACAGGTACATAGATGATAACTGTATAACCTGTTCCTGATCATTAACAGGTACATACATGATAACTGTATTACCTGTTGCTGATCATGAACAGGAACATATATGATAACTGTTCTACCTGTTGCTGATCATGAACAGGAACATATGTAACAACTGTATAGCCTGTTGCTGATTATAAACAGGAACATATGTAACAACTGTATAGCCTGTTGCTGATTATAAACAGGAACCTATGTAACAACTGTATATTACCTGCTGCTGATCATGAACAGGTACATACATGATAACTGTACCACCTGTTGCTGATTATAAACAGGAACATATGTAACAACTGTATACTACCTGTTGCTGATCATGAACAGGTACATATATGATAACTGTATTACCTGTTGCTGATCATGAACAGGTACATACATGATAACTGTACTACCTGTTGCTGATTATAAACAGGAACATATGTAACAACTGTATATTACCTGTTGCTGATCATGAACAGGAACATATATGATAACTGTACTACCTGTTGCTGATCATGAACAGGAACATATATGATAACTGTACTACCTGTTGCTGATCATGAACAGGAACATATATGATAACTGTACTACCTGTTGCTGATCATGAACAGGAACATATATGATAACTGTACTACCTGTTGCTGATCATGAACAGGAACATATATGATAACTGTACTACCTGTTGCTGATCATGAACAGGAACATATATGATAACTGTACTACCTGTTGCTGATCATGAACAGGAACATATATGATAACTGTACTACCTGTTGCTGATCATGAACAGGAACATATATGATAACTGTACTACCTGTTGCTGATCATGAACAGGAACATATATGATAACTGTACTACCTGTTGCTGATCATGAACAGGAACATATATGATAACTGTACTACCTGTTGCTGATCATGAACAGGAACATATATGATAACTGTACTACCTGTTGCTGATCATGAACAGGAACATATATGATAACTGTACTACCTGTTGCTGATCATGAACAGGAACATATATGATAACTGTACTACCTGTTGCTGATCATGAACAGGAACATATATGATAACTGTACTACCTGTTGCTGATCATGAACAGGAACATATATGATAACTGTACTACCTGTTGCTGATCATGAACAGGAACATATATGATAACTGTACTACCTGTTGCTGATCATGAACAGGAACATATATGATAACTGTACTACCTGTTGCTGATCATGAACAGGAACATATATGATAACTGTACTACCTGTTGCTGATCATGAACAGGAACATATATGATAACTGTACTACCTGTTGCTGATCATGAACAGGAACATATATGATAACTGTACTACCTGTTGCTGATCATGAACAGGAACATATATGATAACTGTACTACCTGTTGCTGATCATGAACAGGTACATATATGATAACTGTATATTACCTGTTGCTGATCATGAACAGGTACATATATGATAACTGTATTACCTGTTGCTGATTATGAACAGGTACATATAGGATAACTGTATTACCTGTTGCTGATCATGAACAGGTACATATATGATAACTGTATTACCTGTTGCTGATCAATGCTGAGCATTGCGAAATCAGCCCTTCTTACATTATATCTTTGGATATCCGCCAACATGATTAAGTCTTTTTCGAAAAAGAAGCCAAGCCGTCATGCCTTAATCAACTACCATTTCATGACACTTTAAGCTGACAGTAAATCACGGGTACAGTTAGGTTATACCTAACCCTAGACTAGCATTGCAATAGTTTCTGTTCAATAGGCCTCTTAGGTCATGATATATGAACATGTACACCATGCTGTATTTAATACATAGTAGCACAGACGTAAATGACTCTCATTGCAAGGTAGAAGCTGTTCTTAATCCGTCCTGCAATATGAAAATGTCGTCAATGGCGTTTTTTTCTGTGGTTCCATTCTTCCAAATTGGCTGAGGATTATATTTTCCTTAAAATATAACTTAAAGCATACCTATATGCGAGGTATAGCACTTGGACAGTCTGTTTACATCGGCTGGCAATACCTTTTTTGTAAGTTATTGACGTAACAGTACCACGTGACAGGTTAACTCATTACTATTCTAGCCACTATGGATCGAAAACCTCTGATTGTCTATAAATAAATTGTATAACATAGACATTACTGTTGATACGAGTTTTGGTATTTATTGAACTGTGTTATGTCACAGAAATTAAAATCCTTGCCTAAGAACTTTTTTCACAACATCAACAACTCATTAATTAGTCATCTCACCCAAACACCCAAACCCCCATCACTCAACACCCACACCTAATTTTTTGAATTACTGATTCTCAGATAGTTTCCATAAATTACTAGTATATATATATAGGTTTTGAAATGTAAATTTAAGGTTGTAGGATTATTATTGTCCTTGTTAACGGATATCAACTACTATAATTTATACAGGTTGAAGGATACATCTGGGGAAGAGAGATTTGCTAACAGTGACGTGTTGTGTGTGGTGTATGCCATGCAGGGGAGTTTTGATCAATCATCACTTCAGTGTGACAACAAGGAAGGACTGACCTCAGACTGGCTTTACACGCCCTACGAACAGCAGGCGTCGTGTCCAACCTTGGTCAGATGCAACGGATATAAATCACTCGATCTTGAGGTAGGCCGTTTTTATTTTTTTTGCATCGCACTTCCAAAGTCACAATGGTTGAGTAAGAGATATCAGTCCAGATGTTTATAGTCTAATTTAAGATAACTTTATGCCAATAGTTCATATCAATCATTTAGAAATATCAACATCATCAGACTTCTTACAATTAAACATCATCCATAAATAACATGGACTTTGCACTTTGAACTTGCCTGTTAGTTGTACTAATTAATTCCACTGGTGCAAATAATGACAGATTATTTACTTGTGTTATAGGTGATTATGTGCGTTACAAATGATAGAAATAATGTTCATACTTTCGCATCTGCATTATCTAGGTGCCCATGGAGGTGTACGTGCCATATTCAATCAGCAACGATAAATGCGAACCAGAAGTCAAGATCTCAATCGACAATGGAACATGGAAGTACCCAGGGGTACTAAACAGTCGAAAAATAGAAGCATTTCCGGTTCGTGTATATATACAAACAAATATTTAAAAATTACTTTCCAGAATTTTCCCCTTAATTGATGAGCATTCCAACACTAACACTTTCCTCTTTGTGTGCACGTATGTGTGTGTGTGTTGGGGGGGGGGGGGTGGTGCTAGCTACTTGTTTCGTTTACGGGAAATACTTATGTTTTCTTTCACATTATCACTCGTTCGGGCACTTTAAGAATGTTTTATTTTATTATTTTTGTAGGAAGGCGTGAATTACATTGGGACTACGGTTCCAAATTTCCAATCATTCCGAATCATTGTTGTTGCTGTGGCGAAGAAAAAGGATATAGTAGTGGACAAAAATGGAATTTCTTTCCAGGAGGATTGCGTGCATTTTCTAATTCCCCCAGAATTTGGAAAAGACAAGATCAAGTTTGGGGTAAGAGAACGTTTCAATCTCACAAGGCTTCGTTTAATATTATAACTGTTATTTAATTTCGTAACTGGCCAGTTATAGTATGGAATGACGTTGAAAGTAGTTTGTTTGAACGTACCGTTAACATGGACAACCCATCGTAAAAAGTAACTACTTATTCTTTGGTCAACATTTAACAAGAACGCTATCAGAGGTCCTGTATCATATAATGCCAACATTTAGCCACTTTCAAGCTATCAAGTAAAAGGCTTTTGTATCAGATTTATCACGAACCCTTCAACATATTTTGTTGAAATTTACACCATAGTATGATACAATTGAGTTCTGTGCCTGATAAGATTCCGGTGGTCATCGGGCAAGATTACAAAGACAAATTAGTGAAGAAAGTTTTTTTTTATAATCTTATCACAAAATTCTTTGTGATAAATTCATGTCGAGAAATTGACAAGAGGCAAAGTTTTCCTGACGTTCTTAATCTGTGACGAAGTAATCCTTAACTGTACAAACACTTTTAGTGGCAGCTATCCGTGAACTTCTAACTAACAGCTATGTCTTTTCAGACCCACGTGCACTGTCACGGTCAACTACGGTTGTTTACTTCTCGCTAAAAGGCCAGGTTATTGCGTTATTTCGGTCGTAGCTATAATTATCACCGGCTTTTCCACAAATTGACCACACTGGACATTGGCTTTAGGTTATGTCATAATCAACTACGTAAACTTTGGTTAGGTGATATATATTTTTAGTATCTTATCGATTGTAATGGTGGTGCTATTTTACTATATAGCCCCTTTAATATACTGTAGTCCTGGACAGACACTGGCCAAGGAAAAAATGTCAAAAACTTACTGGGCGCACAAGTGCGTATAGAAGTGGACTGTATGGAACCAACAACAAAGGACATCAATGTCAAAATATCCCCCGAACAACGTAAGTAATACCTCAAATTTACACATAAGTGTCACGACACCTGTTTTTGTTTCCTTTCTGTTCAATAAAACATGTACTTCGATGTATTGTCAAACAAAATTTGAATAAAACAAAGTTTAAACCAAGTAATGCCATGGTGTTTGTCCCTGCCTCTCTGGCACACATAACAAATAGAGGCCATAATAGAACTGGGGGGGGGGGGGGGGGAAAAATAAAAGNACAACATAAACGGAAAAAAGTCTGAAAAAACAATAATTGAGCAGAACTTGCAAATGACCCTTTACACAGGCCAAGACCTCTTTGTAATTTGAAAATAAAACAGATCTAGAAACAGCCTCTTAAAATTTAAAGTTTTATCCACTTCCATTGAAGTTTCATCCCACTGCAAGGAACGGAAGGCGGTAGGGGCGGCTGTCAACCAGTATTTCATATCGAGCAAAGATCTTTCTAACTTTCGTTTGGATACCTTTCTTCAACATTTACAGACAGAGAGAGTGATAACCACGAAAGAATTAAACGAAAACAAGGTATTACTATAATCATTTATAACTTAATGTTACTATCAGCGATATAGAAAGTGTAGCTAATTGTTACTATTAATGCTATTTCGAAATATCTTAATAAAATTGTTTGTTTTATTGAATTGGCATCAATTTCCATAATGGTTGTTTATTTTATTATCATTTCATATATGGTATAACAGCTATTTATTTGAAATAACAAATACATATGCATTTATAATATAATTATAATATATTAACACAGCAGCTGCTTCATCTGTATTATTTTACATTTAACATAACGAACATCTTTGTAGTATTATAATACCAGTACATTATAGTACATGTTACACAACGAAAATTATGACATTGGTTAAAGCTATATTTTTTAAAGCTAAACAGAGCACCCGGTTGTTTATTTTAAAATGACACATATGATGAAATTTTGTTCCAGAATCAAAAGACGAAAGATAAAAAGATAAAACATCTGCTGGAACTGCTGCTTGACAAACCGTCTGCTGCTGAAAAAGTACTGATGTGCCTTGACAAGTCAGGAAATGACGGCGTAGCGGATGAAATCCGTGAACTGGTCAAGGAAATTCGTGGAACCCGTGTAGTAGAAGGTAGTGGTATACATTAGAACACGGTTATTCATTATAATGTTCTGTTGAGCACTTCATTGCACAAGTACATGTTTTTCGTAATTATGGAACAACAGAATTATTGGAGAGAAACTGCGAACCGTACCCAGTAGAGGTCTCACACAACTAAATCATTTAGTTCATGTTATTATTTAGCCTTTTAGCTAATAGCATGCTTTAATATTTGAAATACAACACACGCGGCAACTGTGTAGATTCATAGATACATACCTGAAAAGGGTTCAAGGGGCCTTTTTGGCAGGTTTATTGGCATATAAGAGAGCGCTACAGGCATCTGCTGCTTTTGACAATCAGTGAAGTAATTCATGTCTACAATTACACATTTAAATTTCTCAAAGGCACTATATTTTATCTTACCAAATTTTAGGTTGGAATAACAGGCGTATGAAAAACTGATTGGCTGAAACATAATTTGCAAAATATATATTGTATATATCTTTGCATAATATAGTCACACAAAAGTAATCGCTTGTTGTAATTTTAGTATTGACTAAACCAAATAAAAACAAAAAGATAACAAACAACAACAAAAAAGGAAATGAATGTCCGTCTATTCGCCCGTAGGCTATCAACCGTGTTGACACAATATTGCAAAACAGCTGTTAAAATGATAACAGGGTTATGCAAGGTCATTGACACAAGGTCTTTTTCATGGGTGAAGGTTAAAACCATTGGTAGGTGCAGTTTTTCACTTTAGCAATGTTACTTTCAAATGATTTTGATTACACTTGATATAACGGCCAAGTGTCATGTAATACAAATAACAGTAACAAGACAAAGAAAGTAAAAAGAGTAGCAATAAGTATTGCCTTTACACCGTTATGTTGTCATTATTCGCAGAACAATGGCGTTCAGTGATGGTTTACCGTGCGGATGGCGGTAACTGGGAAGTCCTGGATCCAAAACTGGCTTCAAAACTCCATAAAACGTTAGAGTGCAAGTTGAGTGCAGGAAAGAGACACTTTGAGTAAGTTAATAACATCAGTCATCCAATTAATAAACACGTTTTTGTTTTTGTCTGAAATATATTACTTATACTCGAAAATTAATCCTACACCTTTTTCGTTTGCTTCTAAAATTAACTAATCATTTAAAAAAAGGTCTTCCTTTCATTTGATGAGGTATAACATCATACACTGTCTTAAACCCATTAATGATAAGGATATGGATCTGCCTCGGTTTTTTTTTTAATTCTGAGATTTCATAAGAATCCTTACAGACAGCTTAATGATGCTGGTGGTTTTCCAACAAAGCTATTATACAATCTCCTCATTACCTTTCTTAGAACCATCAACTCAGGGATACAGTCTCGTTGTGCCACACTATACTCTAAAGTTCGAGTTAATGGATTGTGGTTTAGAAATGCTCAAACAATTTCTTTATCGATCTTGAGCAACCTCTCCCCAAACATGTTTCTTCTATCAGATTTTGTGTTTTCCACTCATTACACTGTCATATATCAAACCAAAATAAGGAACGCCTTTGTTCTCCTGTAATGAGAGCTGCTTTCCATTCCAGATAGGCAACGACGATATGACTATTGTAAACGTTCATAGTTTAGCTGTATTCTAATTTTTGCGCTTTTATCGCTTTTAAAGTTGCGTTCAATTATGATACCACTATTAAGATTCTGTATATATTTTCCTATTGCACATAATGTAAATGCGCTTATTTTTCAATGCGATACTCTTTTAAAATGCGATTATACGCTGAAGTCCGTGTACAATATATGGTTTTAGACTATTTTGGGGAATATTTTTGTGAAAAGCAAAACAAAGGCCAGAATGATATAAACTGTGAATAAAATCATGAGAAACTCTGGTTGACAATATCTTTGTGGAGTTCGGCTGCAAGATTTCCAGCAGATGGAGGGAATTCCTAAGAAACACTTTAACACCCCCCCC